AGGAGTTGGTCCCCTTAGGTGGTGTTGGCGTGCGAATTTTTCTGTCGGCTCGGCATAGGCGTATGCTCGGAGGAAGTAACCCCAAAGCGGGGCGAGCTATTGAGGGACTAGCTGCACTCAAAAATTTCTCGAACATCAGATAAGAATAGCGGAGCCAGGGTGACTATGCAGGATTAATGTGGTGTATCAGTGCTCAGGTCGCGGTGGAATAAAGTGCAAACAATGGTGCATATGAAGCAAAGAGGCCGCGTGATTGCGATTTACATAAAGGGCTTTTTGTACCGAGGCCGTGAACGTCATCCAGCTCGGGACAGCCGGTCCGTCGCAGGGCAAAAGTCCCCACGATCTGCTCAGAAGCCAAGCACAGGGGCGGCGCCGACGACTGGGGTGCGCAAGGGCTCGAGCTGAAGATAGCCAGCAGTGGGTTATGCGGAAATGGCTTGCTCGTCCGACGTGGGCCTATACGACATGGGCAGCCCCCTTTGCGTTTGCACAGGGCGAGCCTCGGACGACGCTGACTGATGAAGAAGAGGAGGCAACATGTGCATGTGTCTGTGTCGATGGACCCGGGAGCATTATCGGGTGATTTGAGGATACTTGGTCGGCAGAGATCGCCCTACGTTGGTCTACCGACTCGACCTTCACCTGAGTGTCCGGGACGATGCACAGAAGGCGGGCCGTAGTGGAGGGTAGGGTAGAACAAAGTCGGCTTGGTGGCACGGTGCTCGAGCCCTTGGTGCGTGTGCGTGCAGCCAGCTGCGAGTGATGTCGCGATGCTGCACGACGTGTAGTGTAGGAACGGACAGGTTGGCAACGACATGGCGGCTCGATAGTATTGTTCGCCCTCGCCGTGACCCCAGGTCTGGATCCCCCACAGTGATGAAATCCAAACGGAGCAGCGCCAGCCCCTGCCGGCTACGGTGCGACACGACTGACAGCCAGTGGGTAAATTGTGTGCGTGTTGGGAAGCATTATTGGCCATGTCATGCGGCCAATGAGGGTGGTCATGCGCGAAACCACTCGAGAGTTGCACGCATCCCACGAGTCTGAATAGTGCAACACCGAAGTCTGCCGAGATGACAATGCAATGCCGCTGGCGATGGGGGCCAGTGACAGTGCCTCGTCGAGCAGTGGGTGGGCAGAGATGCGGGTGCTGGTGTTTCTGGCTGCTTAGACGCTCACTGCATCGGGGGTGGCTGTGGGCTCTCTCGTCTCACGTCCAGAGGGAGGGAGGGAGAGGGCAAGAATAGGGCAGCAGAGAAGAAGGCGCTGGACGAGCGTGTCTGCCTGGACAGCACTGCACTGCACTGCACGATACGATGTGATACGACAAGATACGATACGATCTGATGGGACCACGGTAATGGCATGGGAACACAGTCAAAGCCCCCAGGTGATGGTGGTGACGTCTCCAGTCTCCAGAAACCTCCCCATACAAAGGCCGCCCTTATCTCTGCCCCAGCCTTGGAGTGCATAGCCACATCCCCACGACTATCGCCGCCGCCGCCTGCCCACTGCCCACTGCCTACTGCCTACTGCCTACTCTATGTATGTACGCATGTACACTACACCACGGCAGCCCTAGAAGACTCATCACCACCACCACGCAACCCCACCAGCAACGTTGCATCATTTGACTTGACGGCCTCACTGTCGATCCGTATACCCGCGCAGCCACTGTACGCCTGCTTGGGGACCCCGGCCGTCTGCTGGTACTCGCTGCACACTCCAACCACAGCCTCACCTTGTAGCGACTGGCGACCGCAGTGCGTTCGCCGACACTCACCGCTGCAAAATTTCGCATGCAGAATTCTCACGACTGCAAATTACGTCGCCGGACTCAACCAAAAAATCGACGCTCCACAACCCACAGCTGCTGAACGACCAGGCCAAGGCAGGTGCCGCTAGCCACGGTGCCATTGCATCGCTCGCAATCTCACCCGTCCTCTCCCACGACCCCCAAGGGATCGCCCAAAGCGACTGCGACACCGAAAAGGCCGCCGCTCCAGCTACACCCTGCACCCGCTGCACGCTGCCCTCCGCAAGTCATCACGCAAGTGTGCGTGAGGACCCGCATTTCCTGATACGTCTCCACGACTCGAGCGCCCCCCCCCCTCCCCCCCCGAAAAATAGCCAAGGCGCACTGGCGCACCGCGTTTCTTTCTGCGCGAGCTCCGGCATATCCTCGCCCGCGTAAGCACAGACAGCCCTGACGGCCATCAGTCGACCCCCACACGCCGCCCGCCTAGTTTGATCCATACATATATCCGAGCCCCCATCCGTCCCCCTTCCCCCCAAACTTTCCCCTCCGGTCACATGCAATCCAACTCTGCCTCGACAGGTTTCGCCAACCTGCTCAACCCCGAAACAGCTTTCCAGAACCAACAGCAACAACAACAACAACAACCACCCACCTCCACACCAACAGCCTCCATGGCCGCTGCCACCGTCAGCCTCATGGCGCCTCTTCTCCAGAACGCCTCGCAACAGTCAGAGGAGCCCCGACAGGATCTTCCCAGGCCTTACAAGTGCCCTCTCTGCGACAAAGCCTTCCACCGTCTGGAGCACCAGACTCGCCACATCCGAACCCACACTGGAGAAAAGCCACATGCCTGCACTTTCCCTGGATGCACAAAGAGATTTTCTCGCTCTGACGAACTGACTCGGTATGTCTCCCTTCACCAAGCGCCTTTTTTTTAAACCCGCACCCACTAACCCCGCCACACAGACACTCGAGGATACACAACAACCCAAATTCGCGGCGAGGCAAGGGCCAGCAACATGCTGCTGCCCACCAAGCTGCCGTTGCCGCTGTGCAAGCGGGTCTCATGGAGCCTGGATCTAACCTTGCACACATGATGCCTCCTCCATCAAAGCCCATTTCTCGCAGCGCCCCAGGTTCTCAACTAGGCTCTCCCAACGTCTCGCCACCCCACTCCTTCTCAAACTACTCTCCTGGTATGAGCAACGACCTGGCCGCATACCACCAGGGCGGTCTGAGCAACAGCAGCAGCCCCAGCGGTCTTGCCCGTCCCATGGATCTCCTTGCTGATGCTGCTTCAAGACTGGAGCAACGTCCTGGACACATGTCCCACTCAAGTAGACATCACCTTACGAGCGGGTACCACCCTTACGCCAACCGACTGCCAGGCCTTTCTCAATACGCCTACTCATCGCAGCCCATGTCAAGATCGCACTCACACGAGGATGACGATCCGTACTCGCACAGGATGACGAAGAAGTCGAGGCCAGGCTCGCCATCGTCAACTGCCCCGCCATCGCCAACATTTTCGCACGATTCTTGCAGCCCGACACCAGACCACACACCTCTCGCAACCCCTGCACACTCGCCAAGATTACGGCCCCACGGCTTCAGTGACCTTCAGCTGCCACATCTACGTCATCTTAGCCTCAACCAAAACTTTGTGCCAGCGCTTGCGCCCATGGAGCCATCGACGGAGCGTGAGCAACCGTACGTGCCGAGCCAGTCGTCGGGACTTCGTATTGGGGACATTATTTCCAAGCCAGAGGGTGCGCAGCGCAAATTGCCGGTTCCGCAAGTACCCAAGGTTGCGGTGCAAGATCTGCTCAATGGCCCGAGCAATAGCGGCTTCTCTTCCGGTAATAACTCCGCAACGGCGTCATTAGCCGGCGAAGACCTCTCGAATCGCAACTAAACCCACTCTCGACTCCAACTAGCATGGCATCGGCGTTTTCGGTCAGCATTCTCTGCTTTTTTTCTTACTTTTTCACCTGTCTTGCATTTCGTCATCTTTTTCACGGTCAGCAAGCGATGAGATTAGACAAGGGCACACACACAAAGACCTTTTTTTGCAGGGTGGAGCCTGTGGCATATCACGATTTCCCTAACACCACGGGCAAATAGACGTTTCTTTTGTAGCTATCTACATGTACTTGTTCTACTTATTTTCATCCTCTTCTTCTTCTTCATCTTCTTCTTCGCTTATTTCACAGTTGTTTTTGCCGGATTCAATACCCCGCGAAACCGCGCCAGGCGGTTCGCAATCTTGTATATGCCCCCGAGTCTGCCTCACTTTTGGAAGCTAGGTCGTGGGCAGGTTTGGAGGGGGGTGGGGGGCTGGAGGGGTGTGCATGTTGGCAGTGCGGGGAGAGGGAGAGATGAGTAGAGAGGGTAGTTGCTCAGCTTAGCGCCTTAATTGAAACCTGAAAGCAAAGTCGAGTGTTAGTGCAGCAGTGCAGCAGCGTAGATTTCAATTTGCAATTACGAGATATTATGTTATGGACGAGCCAGATTTGCATGTGGGTGACGTGATAGAGGAGCCCGGTGATGCAAGCAGGGAGAATCATTCGTGGGGTAGGGGGCCAGGTTTGGGCGTGTATGCGAGAGCCCGGGGTACTGGGGGAGAGTGGTAGGCTATTTGGCAGGTCTCGGCAACGTCAAGTCTCGAAACAAGGAGGGCGGGCAGTCCATGTTCCCCCGCAGATAAGTTTTGTTTGATCATTCGGAAGGGCGAGTGACGGCGGAGGGATGGGGGTTGGATGGGAGAGTGGGAGTGGGTGTGAGTGGGCTGGATGGTGCAAGCGTCACGCCAGCCCGCCGCCATGGTGCGGCCTTGGTTGCACCCGCACAGTGTTTTTTTTTCTCTTGCATCTGCTCTCTCGCTCTCTTCGCGCCGAACCTGATCTTCCCCTTGCCCTGCGGGGTGGGCGTGAGACACACTGGGCACCCCCAACGAGCAAGATGCGGTGAGGAGGGGGACCAACCAAGGGCGAGACGAGGGCCGTGTTTCAGTCAATGGCATGCTTGTGTGACCACGCCCGTCTCCAGCTAACAGTCGCTATTCTTGCACTTGCTTCCCCTTTCACATGCAGCGCGATAAGCCTCGTCCGCGTCTGACGATTCCGGTACAGACTGCGGCACCAGCGCTAGCGGGGCTTATGGCACAAAAGGGACCTGGATTTTGCGGAGAGTGAGGAATGTGGAGTACGTGGCACAAGCACACATCGTGGCGCTGCCCATGCGCCCACGCCTGGGGGCCGCCTGCAAGCATGCCTGGTATGCCTGGTATGCCTGGTATGCCTGGTATGCCTGGCCTGCTTGTGTGGTGTGTGGTGTGGTGTGTGTGGCATGTGTAAGTACGTACTTAGTACGTGGGTGGGCGTGGGTGCGTGGCTGTAGTTGCCCAAAGCGGAACACGCGTCCTCACTGCCTAAACGGGACACGATGCAGCCAGACTGGCATCCAGGCAGCCTGGGGTGGGCGGGCAGGTCGAGCGCGCAACACCAAGAGTCCTCCAGACACCATCCTCACTACATCCATACCTACTCACCATTACTTACTATTTACTCACCTGCATGCTTTCGCCTACCTGCTAGGCACGTTGGCTGCGTTTCTGACCCCATCCTTGTGGGGATCTATCGAATCGTCACTGCCCTTATCTCGACCTGTCCCCGGCCCCTTCACCCTTGCCAGTCGGGAACCAACGGATGCCTTTGCTGCACATTGCCATTCGACAATGCTGATATCTGGCCAGCCCCAAGGGCCTGCCCTCGCCAGAGCACAGTCTCAGATCCATAGCCGCGAACCCCTCCAATGGCCTATCTATGGTCGACCCAGAGAAAATTTCTCCCGCCGGTTGATTGTGAGGATCATCTCTGCAGTGGTCCAGCTGGGCATGCACCCCGGACTGGAGCCCCATAGTGATAGCACACGCCACGCTACTCCACAACGCGTAATCCGAGCTATGACGATCTCACCTGTCTGACCGTACGAGCCGGCAGGTCTCGCGGCTTCTGCCTCCGCCGCCTCACCACGCCAGATTGCGGCGTCTGAACACGGTCGGCCCGGCAGGCGCGAAGCGAAGCGAAGCCGCACAGCACACACACACACATGTGCCTATGTACGTACTTGCCTCGATATGTTGTACACATACACATGTACCTACTCGACATACCTGTGCCCCCCCCTCCCCCCAACACCGGTCCTCGTTGAAACCACTACCAGAACAGCTACCGAGCAGTAATACCGAACAGGGTCTGGCCTTGACATGACAGCACCCAAATCAAATGCCTTGCCCTGCTTACCGGGTCAAGCGCACACAACGCGAATCGAGCTACACCTACGTAACGTATTCACATGCACATGTATCTCCGGCTGTCGACCAAGGCACTTGCCAACCAAAATTATCATTGCAAACCTCCGCTGTGGACTGTGCAGGGCCGGCCAAACGCCAATCTGCTCACCAAGCTGGGCATCGTGGCCTCCCTACCAATCACAAACCGGCCGGTTCCCGCCCCTCTCTCACTAGCTTCATCAAAAGCAACTGTCACGCACGACAAAGGAGGGCTTGCAAATACTTACACTTTGTGTATCCACAGTAGTGTCTCAGCTGACGGAACTGCGCTCCATCTCAGCCGCTTGCCATTGAGCGCCTCTGAATCCAGCCCCAGATAACAACCGCCCACGGGACAAGAACAAGTGCCACCAAGCCTTTCCGCCCCTTGCAGACCAACTCGGTCTTAGTACTGAACCAGTCCAGCACAAGGCGTCTAGCGAGCTTCTAGGGCCGGCCATCCAGGCCGCAAATCCATCCTTTGTACCAGAATTGAGTGCGGGATCTCCACAATGTCCAACAGCGGACCTGCCTGACGAGGGAATGCTGGCGGTTAAGGCTGGTGCTGGCGAGTCACACACCTTGTCGGAGAGATGGCGCTCGCCACCCCATTCGCTCCAGCCGACGAAATTATGCCGCAAGTAATTGCACCACTCACAGCCGTCAGCAGCACGTCGTGGATTGTGGAGAGACCCTGACTCCACACTCAGATCGACGCGTAGATTCCTTGAAGAAGTTAGCTTACCGCCCTCTGGGAAGTTCCATAGTGCCTGCTTGGTCGAGCCAAGTGTAAAGGGGAAGTGTCTCCGATCCGATGCGGCTCTCGGAACCAAAGACCAGACTATTGCTTTGGCCCTCCCTTCCTCAAAGCTCACGCAGGGAAATTTATCAGACCCCGAATACGCCGATGCAGACCCGTCTCTCCAGAATACTGACCATCTGTCCGTTGCATCGCGTCTACCACCGGCTAACTGTTCAACTCTTCGCCGCACTTTTTGGTTTAGCACCTTCCCCATTGACTCCACCTCCGCGTGCAAGGACCGCGATACCGCAATACTTGATCGATGAATGAAGGAAAATATACTTTTCAAAGTACCTGTTGAGGTTCCCCGCATCTGTGCAGCATACGGGATGCAGGCCTCTAGCACAACGGTTTTCATCTAAGCCCAACATCATCGTACCGGGCTGTTGGTACTCTGCCCTAGCGACTACAACCGCGTCCACGTCCGCAATATATTTCGCAGATCACACACGCCTGAATAGCAATATAAAGTGCTTAGTGAGGCCCTGCGCAAGGGCGACGCACAATATATTGCAGCTTTGACCGCCGGTTCGTGAACTACAGAAGGGTCTCACATGTGAGCTCGATGAGCATCTTTGCCATGACAATCAACCAACCTGCACACACACACTGCAGATAGCCATCTCTCCTGTCCACATGTCGTCTGTCCCCTGCCAGAATATTGGATTTGGCATTCCGCTTCAGCCATTCCACCGACATGAAGCCGGGGCAAACCACTGGGTATCTTGCAGTCACGCTCTCTACGTCACATGTCGAAGCCAGGCAATGACGCACTTGAAAAGTCTCGACTAGTCTCGACCTCTCACATGTTATCCACTTCCAAGATTAGTGTTTGGCTTGGACAAATGTCATGGCGCGGATCAGGGCATGCGCATCAAGTTGCCCTGACAAGCAATCAACCAAACCGGCAAGCGATCGCGCATTGTGTGGGCATCGCCAGTCTAAATCAGTATCGCTGTCTGAGTCAATCAACCGCACTCTCCCTTATCTACACGACTCCACACCGCGGGGAGATACGTAAGTATACCTTCATTTAGACCGTTATTTATCCGTCCAATATTGTAGATAAGCGAAGACCATCCACGCGGCGCAGCGCATTGAAGCAGGATTGCCTATGCTGTCCGTGTGCATGCGCCCGCTGCATAGCTTCCAACATGCAGGTCTCACTTCCACCTCATATTGATTAACGTGGGGGGGGGAGATGCTATTCATGACAATGTACCAAAGTATTTCTAGACGACATGTCGGTGGCCCGAGGTTATTGCACCGGTTTGCTTTCTCCACCACCAATATAAGGATGAAAAATCAATAAAGAAAAATCAATATCACGAAACTGCCGAGACTGGCTGGGCTATGGAGCGAAATAAACAAGCATGTAGGGTTTCGATGGTGTCCAAGGTGCATGTTGTTGAGCTCTGGCAACTGTGTCTGTACCTGCATGCCGTCAGAACATCATCATCAAGATCGTCCACGGAGAACAAACACACCACCACCATCACACCACCACCATCACACCACCACCATCACACCACCACATACGTTTTGTCTACACACACCTTAATAAGCTCTCGCATACGTACCCCGATTATCAATGTACCACCTGCATGCCTTTCTTTCTGCGCCTGACATGTGAAACTAATTGTGGACCCCACGCAAGCAGTGCACGCGCACTTGAACTATGACCAGAAGAAACAAGAAGCACACCAGGAAAGCCACTAACGACCCATCACAAAGCGGAGTAGGAAACAAACCCCAAGAGCAATCAAAAGGGTCGGCTTTACTTTACCCCAGACCCCAAGAGTCTTGTACCCTTATTTTTCCTGTCCTTTCCCGCCGCACGTCCCCAATGTGGAGGGACCAAAGAGCATCGCCAAAGTAAAAGTGGCATGAGCACCGGAGAGTGTCAAAAAACAAAGACCCGACATTTCTTCCGTCCCGCACATGCAAAAAAGCATGTCTGTGTGTCAGGAAATTATTCCGTGTAACCACCATCTCGCACAGGCGACCTGTCTCCTTGCGGACAATCCAAAGTCTGTTCTTTTTGTTGGGGTGCTGATGCGTCGCTGCGTATTCTACTTCAAGTTCCCTACAGGTAGGTACATGTGCGTATTCGTATACGTAGACTTGAGATAATATTATTATTACCCGCGGTATCTCGGACCGGCTTGGATACCATCCAAAGCGGGTCCCTCGGGTGAAACAGAAGCAGCCAAAAGGAAGGAAGCATGGACCTCGCTTAGTGTAGGGATGTAAGTAAGGGTACTTGCATGAATTTGTAAGGTACATTGCCTTCGTACGGCTATTGCTGGTATGGCACCATTGGTCCTATGGGGGACCGCACCGTTTCTGGCTCCCCCGGGTCAGCGTTCAAAAGGTTAACCTTGTGCTCGGTAATTTGTATACGGACTAGTGAGAGGGGCTGAAGCGGGAATTTTGTTGGAGGTTGGAGGATCTGTTGGTGGTTCGAGGGGGGTAAAAAGGCGAGGTCCGAGGTACTTTGGGGGGTAAAAAGGCGCGGCGAAGCACGGGGAATGCAGAGACGTTGGGGATTGCGGAAGATAGCCACGTGCGATTTCAGCCGCGTTCTTTTGGCTCTTTAGTTTGAGGGTCGATTAGTGTTAGTGCTGATGACGCCTTCTTTTTTGTGTCGTACTTTTTTTTGTGGCTGCGGAAAGTCGTAGAATAGAAGGTGGGTAGAGTTAGTGCTGTAAGTATGCAGGGGAGAGATGATCGGTGTCTCCGTGTAAGTCTACTTACACAAGAGTTTAGGTATCAATATGGTAAGAGCATGTCGGACCTGTAACATCTGGATGCGCTTCTGCAATGACTATCACTTTTTTGTTTTCCTGTCTCTCCATCTCTCTCTTGCTTGCAGAAATACGAGGTCCATTACGTACACTCTCATAAGGAAATTACACAGTCTCTTTTCTTCATGCTCCCTGGACACACACACTCCCTACACCACCTACATCACCACCCCAAACACTATGCAGAAAGAGCATAAAGAAAAAAAAACAATCATGGCCCCACTCAAAAAGTCGGCGCATCTCCAGCATGTGGATCTCCATCGCACTTTTTTTCCTGCCCTCGCAACTCGCCCCTTCCTTCTCCTTTACCCTCCGAGATACGAGAAAAGTCCCCATTTTGACGCACGTACACCCCCACATTCCGACATGTTTACTCCACCAATGCATCAATGCGCAAAAGCGCACAAGTGGACTCAGCCCCATCTCCACTAGGTAGAAACAACCAGATACGCTGCCATTACAACCAATCTCCTACTCACATTGGTGGCAGGCCTAATGGATACCCACCACCTGCTCCATACTACTGGCTAACATACCAGCCCATCTCTCTCTCCCTTGTGCACAGCCATGCCTCAAGCCACCTAACCCAACCCAACCCAACCCAAGCTACCCAATCACCTCTCACAAACTCACCATGCACAGCTATCCCAACCCACCCCCCCAAGAAAAAACACCCTCAATATCAAATAAAATTCAAACCCACATATCCCCTCGTCTAGCCCCTTTATCACATGCCCCAACCCTCCGTCCATTCCCGCCCCTTAGATCCCCCCAAGTAGAGACTCTCCACAAAAAAACTGCACAAAAAAATCGTATCTTTCTCGGTGATTTTGCAGGGAAAGAAAGAAAGAAAGAAGAAGACGCGATGCAACGTCCAACCAACCAACCAACCAATCGACCAACTGACGGATGGACGGAGCCTCATTGATGCCCAAATACGAAGTATCGTGATTATTATTTTATTTTATTTTTTCTCTCTCTTCATTCGCGAGAGGAAAACAAGGGTGAGACGTGTCGGATATCGGATGCGGGGATAGATGGGGAGACTGGGGTTGGGGGGGCTGTGATATCGGATATGGGGAATGGGGTTGTGGGTATATATATATATATATGTGTGTGTGTGTGAGAGAGAGAGAGAGAGAGAGAAGGTTGGTGGGGAAGAATATGGAAGGAGAAAAGGTAAGGTAAGGTGAGGTGACATTGGGTAGGTGTGGGGAAGGGAGATGAAGGGGGGGTTTGCTATGAGGTAGCTGTGGTGATTCTATACATGTGGGTGGAGTAGTGTGAAGAATGGCTTGATGCACGCTCCTAGGCACGGTGTTGTAGATTCTACACAATGTGCGATAGGTCCGTGTGTATGGAGTTTGGTAAGATTGAGTGATTTCATAGATTTGTGTATGCATGGTTGTGTTTGTGCTAAAAGGCAGTTACAGTGCATACTAGTACGAGAGGGTACGTATATGCAGTGGCTGTGAAGATCATGGAGTCTCGCTACGTCTCGAGTCAGTGGCATGTAGAGAACTATGATGATTCGTCACTTTGTCGACTGGATATGTATATTTACACAAGGGCAATAGAGATTGACGACGAACTAATGTCTGATAATGTCTTTCCCCCTTGCGTAAAGCCGGCCATGGATATCTCCTCGGTTTAGTTACTCCACACGTAACAACAAAGAGCTGTATTCACAGAGTAAACTCAGAACGAGTCATCTTTTCCCGGATATCCACTTCTGGAAGTACCGCTTGTATACGCAGATCACCAGCAGCAGTAAGTTCAGATCTGCTTCTCCACTTCTCGCCATACTACAAGACGTAATGGTATACCCCTTATCTCACGCTGTGTACGCAACACCATGCAGAAAAAAGCAACACACTGTACCCTTCGGTTACGAGCGCCCCGCATTAATGTCATTTGCCTCCGTAGCCATGAACCAGTTGGTTCGACCCTCGACGCCCAATTACCACATATTATCCACCTGACACTCTGCTAATCCCAATCACCCACACCTGGAAGACGTCACGTCGACATAGAATACATTCGTATTCCCCAGACCACCAACACATCTCGCACTCGTATCACGATTCCCCGCGTCAGGCGCCCTAAGAGCAAACGAAGATCCTGGCCACTTTTTCGGCTCAGCACCATGGATTCCGGAGAGTCAGTCAGGCTGCAGCAAACCCCATCTTTGCGCGCAACACCACCCGTCTCCATTGGGGTAAGAGATCAACGGGAGGAAGCGAGGCTGCAGCCTAGGCCGGCGCCAGCACTGTATGCGGAGAAAGCGTGGGGAAATCAGTGACATTACGAGCTGCCTTGTTGATGTTGGGACCTTCTGCCTTGGGATATTAGGTGGAAAAGGGAGGGCTGGCGGTGGTAGGCGTGCTACGGCCGATGCTATGCGCCCAAGTTCTCGCCCATAGAGCCTCACTCTTGTGGAAGCGAGCCTGATAGGCGCTCATAAGAGCTGAAACAAGGCGATCTGCGTCCTTGATGCAGCGTTCCATGGCTGAGTAGCGGTGAGGGGAAAGGACGAATGCCCTATTATTGCATGCGCCAGCCCCGGTTGGAGGAGGTCTGACACCTGTAGTTCGGACAAGGACCGCATTGAAAATGTGTATTTCTTTGGCAAATCCAGGTCATATTGCGCCACAGTGGGGCCTCGAGGCGCAACAGGGTTCATGGCTTGTTACGATATGGGTGTGAATCCCATGCTCCGCCGTTTTTATATGGTCTGCTCATTATCGTGTACTTGTGTGGCTACCTTGTGCTTCGCACTAACATGCACATACGCGACGACGAGCAACTTTGCCGTACACCCCCACGCCCAGCCCATACCATCGACCCCGCTGACCCCAGACTCGCGAAGCATCCGGAGCATCAGCATTAGAAAAGGGACTACTTTTACCGGTGAGGGAGACCGAGTGTCTGGATCCGGGGGAGCTTCCCCGATCCCTGCGTGCAACTAGTACAACTGAATGCGCTGCAGCCCTGGTGTGACACACTTGTGTGTTATGCTCGGATAGCCCGCACTTGCTTTTGTTCGCCTGTCGGAGCGGAATACCGCTAGTGTGGCAACATGAGACCCAGACGTGTGGATGTGGGATGCGATCAGTGGACAAAAGCTGCCACGCGCATTTGCCGGCGGAAGAATAGCACATCTAGGCTGGGCTTCACGATAAGGGACGTACTAGACCGTGTGGCTTAGGCATATGCTCTGTTGCTGATGTCAGAGCAGTTGGCGAATGCGTCAAAGTCCGCGCCGGGACGAGGCGCGGATGATATTCCGGGGTGCGGCGCGTCTGAATAACCCCACACGGCTGAATAGCGATACCTGTGCTGTGGGCCGTGGGTGGCTTGGCTCATCAATCTGGATGCGAGATCTGCATAGTGATTGGACACTGGACTCCGGAGAGTAAGGGGGAGGCATCTGTACGAGCTTACCCCAGACGGAAGCTTACTTTCTCCGAATAGCACCAACATGTGGTGCAATCAATCCTGGGAGCGGACCAGTGTCGCAGATTGTCGGGACTCATGATTAATCTCTTAATCTTGGGTGGGTGTAGGAGAAGTCCGTATTACCTTATTCTTGTGGCCATCTGCCATGACATCCAAGTGAGGTGTTGCAACGTCACCCTGATCAATGGGTGCTTCATCAATCAACAACCCCTCAGTGGCAACTCCGTCGTCTTCCATCCAACCATAAAGCTCATCTGAGTTCGGTTCTTCGGCGGCATCCTCATCAATTTCGGCGAAGGGTCTCTTTGACATCCGGCCTTCTGTCGGGACAAGAAGAGGGGCTGTAATGTCGTTGGTTGCTATGCTTATGTCGCAAAGACCATTCTGCATCGCGTCAGCAGGCGATCGTCACGGAGAGCGTCTGACTGTGTTCGGTGTGGATCAGGCCTGAAGGACGTTGGATCGACTCACCTTCTCAATAGTAAAGGCCACTACATTGCCGACAGCCCCCTCATCTGCAAGGGCTACACCATTTGCTTTTACAAGGCCGGCAAATCGAGCTCTTTGCAACCTTTCGGTGTCCGACTTGTCAGTAGGTTTGCCATGTCTAACCCAATCCCTGAAGAGAACCAGACGAGTGGATACGCCGGCCTCCCACTCAACCCCTGAGATTGCTGGAACCAACAGTGCGCGTGAGGCACCTCGGATACGGGTGATAGTCTGGCTTGTGATGAGCAAGACAAGGTCGTGTAATGCTGCAAACCTGGTGAATGCTGCAATTAATTCATTGATTATAGCAAATCGACGCCCTGCAGCCCATCGTGCCTGGTCGGTCCTATTCTTCGCAATGCGATCATCTGTATGGCGGGGATATGCGTTGTCAACGAGGGTTGCGAGTGAATCTATGACGACAAGGCTGGTATTTTGCGGGGGAAAGGAAGCGGGCGGATGGACGAAGAGCGCCACGACATGCGCAAGCGTAGGTGCCACGGTATATTGGAAACGACTCCGCATCTCGTCTGGGTACGGAACGAGGATATCGTCGATGCGATGCTGCACCAGAGGCGCGCAGGCAGCATCTGGAAACCTTTAGCCTTTCAACCCAACATTTAGATAGTGCTGTCCTCTACTACACGTAACTCACCAACCCATATTACCCGCTGGCCCTCGCGCAGTGCCGAGACGGCGGCCTGTATCCTGAAAGCCTTCAATCGCCGTCTTCCCGAGGGTGCAATGCAGTCACAATTACCCGAATGTTGTCTTGCCGACCCCGGATGGGCCGAAGATCTCAGTTACTTTGCCGCGTGTGTACCCGCCTGAAGCATCATGACCTGGAGGAGCTGGCACTGAAAGGGCCTTGTCAAGCTGTGTGACGCCTGTTGATACCGTGCGGGCGCCGCGTGCGTTGAAGTCTTGTAGGGCACGGGATGCGGAGACGGTGGGTAGGCGATCTATCGTATGTATGAGTATACGTGTATGCAAACGTGCGTGGAGTGTGCAAACTTACGCGACAGAGGCGACAGCTGTGAGGTTTCTTCGCTGGCCATTGTAGTGGGGAATGCAATTGAGCAAGCTTCAGCGAGAGTATGTGAGGTTGCAGCCGTCCCGTGACTTTCCCGTATCGAGCATTACGTCTTGCGCAGTTTTCCTCTTTCTGTAACTGTGTCGCAGTGGGTACATAGCAGTTGTGGTGTACTTAGTCAAAGGGCGCGTAGTGAGTGGCGTTCAATTGATGCGCTCATGGCACGATGTCACGAGCACAACCAAGCCCATGTGGCACATGACTCGAGCCTCCCCTCCTCACCTGATATACTGGGCGCCGAGATGTCAGCATATACGCACGAGCAGGAATCCAAAACGATTGATTCAAGGCAGAGCACGTTGATGGTCAAATAGCTCTTTACGCCTCCAAATCAACACCTGCCTCCTATGCGTTAGTGTTGACGGATTTTGCTACGCTTGAGGCTCGGCGTTTTCACGATAAGAGCCACATCTCTCACGCTCTAGATCTACCCACCTCAATTGGCCACGCGACACTTTCGTCGAAATGGCCAAAACGTTCTTTCTCGCAGACAATGAGGACAACGTGACGATGGAGAGAATATTGCTCGCGGGGATAGCAGGCTTGCTGCCGTTTGCAATCCTGCTCGTCCTCGGCATCCTCCAGTCTCCCAGAGCACTACCTCCGCCAGCTGGCTGTCGGAAACTTGGAATTAAAGGACGCAGCAACCTTGAAGACCAGTACTCTAAAAGGTATGCCAAAGGCGGTGACCCCATCCCAGAAAAGCCATGGACCATAAAAGCACTCTTTATCTACCCGTTGAAATCTGGTGGCCCGATTGAATTGGAAAAACATGAAGTCATTCGAACTGGGCTAAAATACGACCGCCAATTTACTCTCGCCCAGCAAGTTACTAGCCTACCATCTTTGGATGGAAAAGTCTCAAGTGAATGGCAATTCATGACCCAGCGAAGTTTCCCCCGTCTGGCCAAAGTCGAGACAGAAATGTGGGTGCCTGATCCATCAGCAAGAGGCTACAAGGAGGATGGAGAATGGGTGAAAAGTGAAGGATGTATTGTAATCCGATTTCCATTTACCCCAGACACCGACTTCACTCTGGAAGGCCTAGCCAACTATGGAAAAATCATGGCGGCAAAACTAGTTGGCAAATCCGAACCGACGCTGGAATTCAGAGTACCGTTCAACCCGCCGCAAGAGAGAATCAAGAGCAAGGGATACACGAAAGAAGTTTTGCATATCTGGAAGGACACTCCCGTTGCCCTAAACATGACCTCAGAAATCGACCGCGAGGCCTTTGAAAAACTTCGATACACTCTGGGTGCCGCAAACCCCGTTGCACTATTCAGAATCGACACAAACGCCTATCGAGCAGTCGGCAACAACGCACCAAAGAAAGAAGACGTGGGATTTGAAACTGTAATCGGCATGCAAGACTCTGTACGTTTCCCCCCATCTACTCAATCACTGTGTTTGCAAAGCCAAAAAAAACTACTTTCAACCAGACATTTTCGCTAACAAAAACACAAATAAGTACCCAATCCACATCATGAACATGGCCTCCGTCCACGACGTAGCCTCCAGACTCCCTGGCAAAGAACCAAAATCCAGACACATCTGGCAAAACCGTCTCACCCTCCTCGACGCCATGCGTTTCCGCGCAAACCTCTACATCACGGGTCCCCCTGCTTTCGCCGAGGACAATTGGACCAAGGCGAAAATCACATCCTCATCCAACCCCGAGTCCTCGCTCAATCTCCACATCTCATGCCGCACAACGCGGTGCAAGCTGCCGAATGTCGATCAGAAGACGGGAGAGGCGGATCGCAATGAGCCATCGACTACGCTGCGGAGTTATAGGATTATTGATGAGGGGAGTAAGCATGCGTGCTTAGGGATGCAGGTTACGCCGTTGGATGAGGGGAGTGTGGCTGTGGGGGATCGGATTGAGGTGTTGGAGGTTGGGGAGCATCGGTTTCTTGGGGAGTAGGGAGTGATGATGATGATGGGTCTAGATGGATGGAGAATGGAGGGAGGATTGTGAAGGAATAGTACAAGTGGTATTGTACATGATGGAGGAAATAAGAAAATATATGGAGGATCCAGCGGTCCTACTTGTGGCTGGTTGGACTTGCACATGGCGAAGGAATAATGCAAATTGCATGTGCGATTTGTAATTCTATCCATAACATCGGTTCAAGAATGATGATAATGATAACGATCCAGGCATATAAACTCTCCATGACTTCTTCGCAATCCCACAGTAAATCAAGGGGGAGAGAGAAAAAAGACATAGAAACTGTCTCAGCATTTGACATGCAGCACATGCACATGAAAAACCTACCACTAAATGCCTCACGTACGTAGACTCCAACAGCCTTCCCTTCAAACCCCCTTAATCCCTCCCCCCTTTCTCCACAAGCCCCTCAACCCACGCCTCCACCTTCGCCCTCCGATCCTCTAACACAAGCGGATAATGATCACACTCCAACCTCGTAACATCGACCTTCTTGCCCTCCCTCTCCGTCCCCACCCAACTCTCCTCGATCGCCTCAATCCCCTTTTGCTGCGCATCGGGGGTAACCACAAGATCTTTTCCACAGAAAAACCAGGACGCAGGCACGTCTTTGTAGCCCATGTGGGTTAGGGGATCCAGGAAACAGGCGCCAAAGTGGCGACCCATTTTGGAGACTTCGACGATGGCGTCCGCGAGGGGGATGTCGCTGCAGACCTGGGCGGCGACGGGGGCGGGGTCGGCGTGGTACATCCAGCCATCCTTGATTTCCTTGGTTAGTTTGGGAAGGGAAGGGAGAGGTTAATAGTAGGTGAGGGAGGGGAGGGAATTTACTTCGCCAGCACTAGGTACAACACCGCCCTGGTCTCCAAGCACCTGAAAAGAGGTTTCACCGAGGCGCGGCACCAACGCGGTGAGATAGGCAATGCGGACCACGCCGCCTGGTTTACCCTGCTGCTCGCGTTCTTTCTTGGTTACGCCCTTGAGACTCTGGGTTGCTGGGACACCTGTAGTCACGTGTTGTCATCAGCCATGTGCATATCTACTAAAGTTGCGAATTTGGGCTTGTGATGTATGCGTACCGCCGTAACTGTGTGCCACGAGGACGACTTCTTTGCCTTCATCTGCTAGTTTCTCCACGTGTTTGTTGATATACTGGGCATCGGCGTACATGTTTGGTGGCGGACCATCGGATTTGCGTCCGTAGCCTGCGGGGTAGCAAGGCGGTTCAATAACTTGGATGTCGTAGCCTTTGGAACGGAGGGGCGTGACGATTACATCGTAGGCATTTGCCGAGCAGAAGGAGCCTGGAACCAGGACGACGGTTGGTCGGCTAGACATGTTTGTTGTACGGGTGATGGATATAGGTGGTCACTAGGTTAGAGCCTTGGAGGGTGGATGTTTGGTTGGAAAGTCGATGCCAGTCCGCTCTGGATTTGCTCTGCATGTGGGCGTTGCAAGTTCTTATCCCAAACGCATCATGACCGGTTGTACATATTTGTCATCATGCTTTCCCATGGTTGCAAATGATCGCTGGTGCGGGCCGCGTTGGAGTATCCTGATTGGGTTCTGTTGTCGAGTCTGCTTACGGAAGGTGGTACGCCTGATGTTACCCACATCGTGTACCGCAATTGCTTCGTAACGTCGCTGGCTATTCATGTGGAAGTGAGCCTGCGTAGTGTCTGGACTAATTCGCAGAGGATACTCGAGCTGCAAGTAGAAAATTGGCATGCACAAGTTATCATTTGATTTGATACCAACTCGATGATGAGCATGCTCTTTCATGCTGTCACTATCTTGTAATTAATACCATTGATCACAAGCACCAAAGAAAGATGATGCAGATTTTTTAGAAAAGTCATTATATTAGATCATTAAACAAAGAAATGAACCATTATCATGCGTAACATCCTAGTAACCATCATTCACAACCCCGTTTCATCCCATCACCCAATTCGTGTTATGCCTCTTAAGCAGGTGTAGCGATGCGGCCGCTGTCTTGGGCAGTAAGGCTGTACGAAGCAGCGCAAATGGTGCGGTACTCATCGGATTCCCAGTGGTAGCCAGTGTTAGTGGCAAATGAAGAGCTCCAGTTCTGAGTGTAGAGCGCACAGTAAGTTCCGAGAGGAACGTCGTTCTGAGTCAAGATGTAAGAGGTGAAGAAGTTGCATGGCCTGTACTCGCCGTTGTCATCGACGAGGTGCTCCTTATCGAAAGCGGTCTGGGCCTCGCAAGCAGCAGCGCAAAGGCTGGGATCGTAGGGGTTCTCGTTGAAGAGGCGCATGCCATTGTAGGTGCTGTATTCTTGGCCGTTCTTGGTGATGGAAGGAGCATCGATAGCAGCGGGAAGTTGGGTTGGTGCATTGAAGCGGGACACAACAGGAGCATCCCTGCAGGTGGTATCTTGGCGCTTAGAGTATCCTGTTTTGATATAAGCTAAAGACACTAAGAGAGGACAAAGTAAACCTACCGTTGCTACCAGCAATGACAACTTGGAATTGCTCGCGGTACTGGCCATCATTGACAGCGGTGTTTGCGGAGACGGGGTATCCGAAGAGAGCGCACTTGAGGTTGGTCTGGGGCTCAGGATCCGTGCAGGAAGAGGAAGGCGCGTATTTGGGATCACGTTCGTAGTAGATGTTGAAGCCAAGGCAGAACTTCTCGCTATCACAGAAGTTGGCGCATTCCTGGACATTGTAACCGCCAGTCTCAATGTTCTTGTAGGTCAAGTAACCAATCTGCTGGGTGGCTTTGTTAAGGCCCTTGAAAGCCTCGGTGTAGCCGGCGGGAGCAGTTGCTCCATCAGCACTGTCCTTGAGTACATTGTTTGTGGTAGAAAGGTAGGCGGCAGGAGAGCCATCGCCGGGAAGAGGTGCAGCACTGCATTTATGGTTAGCTGGTTGGATTGACCATGAGATTCTACATTATCGACCTACCCTCCTGCCTCCGGAGTGCCGCTGCAAGAGGTCGAACGCTTCCTGGTCTGCACACCGTTGTTGCTGACATCTTGCTTGACCTCTTGGACGGCGGCGGGCTGGTTGTACTTGATAGGGGCGTTTGGCTTCTCATCAACCTTTGGTTTAAGGTGTTCGACACTGGGCAGAGGAACAGCCTTAGCAGCCTCAAAGTTGGGCCTCTGGGGAAGGGCAGCAGCCAAACCGCTGATGGCGGAAACAGCGAGGAGAACGTTGCGCATCTTGAAAGATGGTTTTGGAGTAGAGGAAGTGAGTTGGGAGTGAAGGTTGTGAGGTGCGTTGGATGATGATGATGATGTTCAACCAGCGGGATGGGACGTCTTACTTATACAAGTTGGATGGGCATCGTGATAGAGCCATGATTCAAAACTTGGACCAAGTGAAATGGTGCTAGCAGCAAGCCGCTGGTGTTGCTAGCCATGCCCCAGAGCCTGGGCTCTGTGACGGCGAGGCTTGACGACTTTGCCAGATCGGGAGGCCATGCAGAGCATGGCGACTGGGAAAGATGGGAAATGGGTCGTGGAGCCGTGGGCTGTTGGCTTTGGTGGCGTACATGCTCAGTGATGGTGAAGGGTACCAGGGCTGTGTGCCGATGGGGATGCGCAGGGAATGCCATTGCCAAAGTGGTACGAGTGGTCAAGCCACAGACGCGGCCGGCAGCTGGATACGTCGCCCTCACCGAAGGCGTTGGGCAGGGCGGTCATGGGGGCGTCAAAAAAGCCTACCCAGAATAGCATGGGGAGAGAGACTGAGGCCAAAGCTTATCAGACGAACAATGAACAGGTCCATGTCGGCTGGGGGTCCTGTTGCCAAGGACGGGAGATAGCTCGTCTCAACTCTCATAAGCGTAGCGATTTTCAGGCACCGCGCCCACGCCGCCAGCCCCAAACGGACTCGCTTGGCCCAAACAAGCTAGACCAACCTTGCTGTTCCTGGCCTAGCGCATCGGCTAGCACGCTGGTTTCTGCAGCGTCCAATATCTCGTATCAGTTACCCTGACGTGACCAAAGGCCCGTCGCCTCGCATACTACTCCATCACTGGACCGCCGTCTGACTCTACGCACCAAGTGCACTATACACACACGCACGCGCGCGCTCTCCTTCGCTCCAATGCCCAACGCTTGCACACTCGCATATGCAGCGGCGCGCGTCCAACATGCCCAGGCGAGCGGTCAACAACTGGCGTCAACATGACAATATTGAGCCATTGTGCCTAGTACCGCGAGCTAGCACACATCGATGTCCCCTGCAACATGCGGCGCTATTTCTGTCGACTATCCGACCGACTGGTCCAGCATCATGGACAGCACCCGGCCCTGGCCTCGTTCTCCCACCGCTGCGGACCTCTGTTCACGCCAACTGATTGATGAGCATCATGGGCACGACCCAGCCAAGAGGATAACCACGCGGTCGGATGAATTTTGTTTCTAGCTCTCATATCGCCAAGTTCGTCTGCTTGTGTCGTCACTGATTCTTCTTTGTGCGTCCTGATTTGACTTTGAAAACACCTCATCATACGTATACCCCCCCCCCACGGTATGTACCCTTAGCGCGTTTCGCTCCGCCCTCCTAGACACTGCATCAGCCATCGCTCAAGTCCGACCAGTCTTTTGTCTGCCACGATGGTGGTTTGTGTAGACGCAAGCTGAGATGCGGGGCTAGTCCCGTTCTCCAACGTGGCAGTCACGGTCACAACAAGCCACGAGGCTATGCTAGCAACCTTGTTCCTTGCATGACGCTAACCAACTCCGAGGCCTTTAACATTCCGAGTCAGAAACCCACCACTGAGCATGTGGCTGGCTTCAACCGATCCAAGAGACTTTTGAATTATTCCAGCACAAAATAAGAGCACACTTAACAATTGCTGGAGTGAGGGCGTCCGGTCAATGCGCGACGTTTTCCGTCACTCTGACTGAGTACCGTGCCATGACAATCACAAATTGCCTACACATACACATTCACTAAAGTCTCGAACGTGCATCTATCGGCGCAAAGCCTAGGCCCATGGAATGCTAGGCGCTTCCCCCACCTCTGCTGTTTGGCTACACCAAGGCTGAAACCAAATCATCGTGTTCATACCTAGCACATCACGAGCATGATCCACAATATTCCAGCCACTACATGCGGCTCGCCTGAGGTGTGCTCGACTACCACTCTTCACAAGCCAGACGTCAAGCGCCGGTACCGGTCAATGTGGGCCAGAAGATTTCTAGCAACCTTGCCAATGCCACTCGTATCCCAGAGCGAGCTTATGCAAGATATGATGCCAAAGTGTCACTCTACGCATGCCTTACATAGTTGTTCAATAGCAAGGCGAGCGACAACCATGGAAACCGTTGGCTGGGCTTAGATTACTCGCCTATCCACGCTCTCGGTGCCTCCAAGACCATGGCTTTGCGAAATCGTTTTCTCCATTGTTCGCTTGGGAATAGGGTGTAACTAGTGAGCTTGGTTTGTTCCCCAAGCCGTAGCAGCACGGAAACACACCGCTGCTTTGGGATGTAGTCTAGTCTTCACTCAGCCCGCCCACAGTACACTACACAGACTAATCGACCTCGCGTACAACTCCAGAGGCGCTCTGGGCACTCTATGGCCGTGCCGTTCCGTTGCAGCCATACCTGCATATTCGCCACAGCCTGCAAGGCGTAGGGTCGGGTCAAATGTAGGTGAGGCCGATGAGACCTGGAGAGCTGCGTCTGGTGACTGTGAGGGTCCGGCTCTAGATCTCCAAGACTGTACACATTCAGCATAATGCCATCGTCAGATCAAGATGATCCACTCTTAAAACCTGCAACCCCGCTCATGCATCAAGTGTATGGACGTGCTGGCCATTGATGAGGGTTCTGGACCTTAGAAAGAGTCCAGCCACATTGTCAGGTGACGGTATGCTCCATCGGCATGGCCTAAAAGACTTTCGACGAGGCTGAGCTGAACGGATGTGCTGGTCATGCCGTGTCCAGTCTTCGTGTGCTCATTCTAGCCAGTTGTTTCTCACAATGCCATGTTCATACGCTAAAGCAGAACACATATGTTGCTTTCGGAATTTCCACACTTCCATTTCAGGATCTATGCTACTCAACAACACGCCACTTGTGCCACCCGCGTGGCTATAGAAGAAGAAACTCAACAGTTCTCATCTGCACTCTCCAACCAATGAGACATCTCACTATCCAACGCCCTATTTATACATGTTCGCTTGCATCAGAGAGACAAACACGTTGATACATCTTGCAAAGCGATATGCCGCTATCCGACGCCACCACTATCAGCCACACGTATGCATATACTATTGCCCATCTGCAAGGGACGAAGCCAATGACTTGGTGCATGTACCTACCTTCCTTCTTCCCTCACTCATACTCTAGAAGACATGATTATTTCTCATTAACAATACGAATCTCTGCGTTCTTGCTCGCACTCGTACTCGCTCACCCCCTACATCTTAAATACCGCCATTATGAATCCATGGGCGTTGTTTATTTTGCCGACATCAAGACTGAAACATCTCTCCTTGTTGTGTTTGAAACATGACCGAGCGAGCGAGTAAGCACCAGACCTACGCGCCCAAATATGAGTCGGTGCAATCATTTGGAACTTGCTAGAGAATAAAAACCCTAATTACCAATCCGAATGTTACAGCTATACCAAACTATGTTTATTTTTATTTTGTTTGGTTGTTTGGTCTGCGTTGTTTCCCTAATAGCCGGAACACCCGGCATTTGGTTTGCGCCGCCGTCCGGCCCGCTAACCTGCATTGATGATCGCCTTTTACACCTGCAGCAAGGTAGGGCAAGCGAGGCAAGGAGATGGCTGACAAAAAGAAAAAAAGTGCCAAACCACCCTAGTCCATTCGCTTACCTACGTGGGCTTGTATGCAGTTAGGCTGGGAAAACAAAGCCAGAGTTACACGACCGCCCCGTTTGGCTGGATGCTGTTGTCACGCGTCTTTGCTTTTCTTGATGGAATCTCCTTTTCTTTGCTATTTGCGGAAGCGGGAAGGATGAATGCTTGTTTGGTCCTTTTTGTGCCTATTCGCGTTCGCGTTGGAAGGGGGAAGGGGCTATCGGGTTTTGGGTCTGGATTCCTCCGGTGGCTGCTTTTTTGATTGTTGGGAGAAAGAAGAGGTTATTTTCCGTGTACGATTCATCGTAGCGAGCTTTGTACATACAGAATCCATTTACGTGTGTAGGGAGCGCACGAGTGGCTGGCTGGCAGGGCTGGCAGGGCTGAACTCAGCTGTGGGGGCTATTCTCCGTTGGTGATGTCCGAGCTCAATTTTGCGAATGCATTTCCAATTTGGCGGTGTGCTAGGTTGGTGTTTCTTCCGGTGTGGAAATCTGGGGTTATTCTGGCATTGAATCTTAAGCCTAGCACTCCTACTGTACTCTGAGTCTAGCAGTGCATTCACAGTGTGACGGCGCATGGACAGGTGACGAACTCCCACACGGGTGAACATGACGCTTGGAAAATTTCTCGACCCAAAAACATATAAGTGGGGTTACCCACTATTGATTGTGTTTGCGTATCTGAAAACGAGTCGAATGTTCTCGTGGGACATGCTATGGCGATTGTAGTAGCAACCATATGAACGATCACAATCGCAATCACAACGGCCATGGGAAAACAATAGCAACGATAAGCATAGTCTCAATAGGCAATCATGACATCAATATGTCGACAAATCACACAGCAGTTGAGATGGCGGCTACAACGAGTATAAGAACAGCTCAGTTTTCGATTATAAACGAATCGCATCGTCTCCTTTATTACGTCTATAAACTCCTTCGACAACTCCCTAAGCAGCAGATAAGTCTCCTAGAAGAAGCCCGAAAGAATCAATCATACAAGTTCAAACTGTCGCATTCTAGCAAGAGCTGGAAGAGAATATTTATTCTATATACAGCGCGCTACTCAGTTCTCTTTGCATTCGTTGCTCCTTCTGAGACAACCAGCAGCAACCAAGCCAAAGACGAAAGGCACTCCAGACGCCGCGATGGCCAATCGGCCTCCGATAACTATAGTTCTTGCTGCTGAGGAAGAGAACGCCCTGCAAGTCTTCAAACTAGACAACCGCGAATTGACGGCCATGAAAACACTCTTTCACGTTGACAAAGCCAACCAAGCCGACCAGACAAGTCTCCCCAAGGCAGTCAAGTGGAACGAATCCAAGCGTGCGATGGCCCAAATTGTTCTACTTGCCAACAGCTCATGGCGGACTATGCGCACATGTTTTCCTAAACAGCTTTGCGTTTAATGCTCGTGCTGGCGACACAATCTATCTTGGCCATCTCTGAGATCACAAGAAGAAGACAGAATCTGCGCCGAATACTTGGAACATTGAACAACAATCTAAGCCCCGAGGCTTACTGTCCTGACCAGTATGACTTCAGTGCTATGTCTTTCTTGTCAGTTTCGTGCCATGTGCGCACATCAGCATACACTTTGCATGGGACAAGGACCCGTTGGAATGGCTCACTACAGCGTTGAGCGACAAGGGCACACAAATTCAACAAGTGTTGCAACAGCAAAAAAAAAGGTCAAGGAATCGAAGCTAACCGACCTGCCTTTTGACCACACGCACCTTATCCAAAGCCGAAAACTGCTATAACAGTTAGACACACATCGTCGTCGACTCGCAAGCAGGGTCTGCACAAGATTCTACACGCATATTTTGAGGAGCTGTACACTACTTATGAACGCCTACAATACGTATATATTGTTTTTAATACACGTCAATCCTATAGGAAGGTGCGCAGTTCGAACAATTAGTCACAAGCATCGGTTCAATATGGACGCCAACATTGGAGCTCACGCAAATATCGACAACCACCATGAAGCAAAGGCTCATTCGCACGCCTCCAAGAAATTGAAATGGAGAAGTGTTCGCGTCAACGTACATTTAAGCCGAGGCAACATCAAGCTCAAGCTCCACTTGAGTTCTCCTAGCTCACATGCTTCCAGCGAAAGCAGTATAAGCATCTCCAACAATTTTCCTACATCTACATTATATGACGGATACAATCTCAGAGATTTCCCGTCCTGCTGTTGTCGAGCCGAAGACCCTACCCATATATATCTAACACACAACATGACATGGGCGAGTACTCTCGAGTATCAAAGCAACAAAATACCGTGTACACTTCCCTCCGAAGGCCATAGGCACAGAGGCCTATGTAAAGAAGGGCTGGCACGAGCCAGACAGATACCCGCATTTCACCGTAGAACTGCGATATGTCTTTCTCTACGGTGATTATAAGCGGATGGCCTGGAACTTGTCGTATAAAGGAAGTCTTCTTTTCCGAAAGCTATTGAACCAAAACCCAAGAGGCTCTGGGTGAAATCAACATCAATTACAATCCCAACGTCGAGCCTCAGCGGCAAGAAGACGACCAGCGGCCAACTATCTCTTTACAACATTCCAGATTGTCACATAGCTCACCTCAACGTTTCTACTCGATCAATCGCAAGGCGCCATATATCTCTTTCAAACTTCTCCTACCCAAGAAGGCGAAAATAGATAAAGCGAGTACGATTGCGATAATGACATATAAGATAGTGAGAGAAGAGATGGCGAAGACAGCGATGCCGACGACGATATCCAAGAGGACACTGACGAAAACATAAACACTCCAGAGTCCGCGTTGAATGGTGCAATCATACTCCGGAAGCTGCACTGATATGTAGACAGCAAGGAATACTGGATAAGGGGTCTCGTTGGAGGATTGGCAAAGGCAGCAAAAATATGGTGTATAAACGTGACAGACCTCAAGGTTGCCAATGACCAGCAGCTTGTGGACATATCAAGCGTAGTCAGACACTCCGACGCATCTGATGTTCCCACGCCAGGTCCCTGATAGTGCTCATACATTCGAAATGGCTTTGAGACACAAGATCTACCAACTCAGCAATAAGACTTGTCATAGCAAATGGTATATCATGCCGAAGATCGGCACAACATCAATCTCCGCCAGTGCACAAGAACCGGAAGCTTGATCGCAAAACTCGCATCAGCCTAGACATTACATACTTTGATATACCTCACCTACTACCCAGTTCTGGTGTTGCCGCGCTAAAACTTCACATGTCTCGTGCGCGATACGAAACGTAGGATTCCTCCGAAGAAGAGTACACAGCCAATATACCATATACCCGGCTACATCATGTTCAAACAGACATGTCTCCACCACCTAACAAGGCCACTAGAACAACTATACATCCAACTCTGACTACGAAGACAACAACCCCCTTACTTGTTCAGTTAAACGCACCAGGTCCTGATGACCAAATATGACATCGCATCAGTATCCATCCCAGTCCACCAGTCATACATCCGTCACGGTTTGTGATGTTCCAGCATCTAAACCTTGCCCTGATTGATCCATTATAGCCAGCAACGCCTATTTCCGCGCCAGCCTGTACCGCTGGTAATGAGAAATACTCCATGTAACGAAGACGATTTTGGACACAGCTAGCAACACCATAATCGATCCAAAAGACGTCCTTATAGATCACATAACTTCTTTATCATAGATAAGTGGATGTCGGATATCACAAAATTGTCCACAAAACAGCGAGGAACAATCCCACTTACAGAAGTGTGCGTTGTGCAGGAGAGAACGAATACAGAGATCTCGTGTATAAACTCTATTGGGACGGAAGTTGGCTGTGTAGGACAGTATAGCATGACCCGAATACGAAGCTCTTTCTGAACAGACACAGCATGGGAACAAGAGGAATACAGATCTGTGGTTCGGGCAGGAAATCTCATTAAGCGTGGTTCGCTCGAGCAATTATATAAAGATGGATCGCCAAACCGTATACACAGCCACAAATACAAGGCCGAGAACGATGCACGACAATCACCGTATGGGTTTTATAGAGTGCCACAGAAAAACACATATCCGCCTTTCCCCAAAGAGATCACCTTGGTGAGTGGATTTTCGAACACTATATCCCACGGCAAATCCAAGACCAAGGCAAACTAGACTACACTACTACAACAACCGAACCAGACAATGTGCTAGGAGACTGGCTACAATGATCTTGTACAGCGATGGCAAGGGATCAGGAAAAACGCAAATCCCTCATTCCCCGCGAAGATGCCCATAGCGAATGGGATCGCCAAACCGTATATACCTCGATACCGACGAACACGATAGGAGTGGGAGAGAGACTGGCTACATGGCTTTTTTCACAGACATACAACCAGGAAACATGAGACGACCCGGGTATTTGTGTGTGTGTGCGAATCAGGCACAGATCGCATACATCGCTTGTATAGCCGAACTGAATATACCACAACGACATTCAATCCGAAAGATGTACTCAGAGGACTGGCCGCAGGGCTTCTTATACGGAGACACAACAGGCGAATATGATTTGATTATAGGTGGACAAGCTGAGTTTAAAGAGCGTGTATATTGGTGGATCGTCGCAAACTCGAAAATCTAGTGGCGGAGGCAAGCTGCGAAGGGGGGGAGGGTTTACGTGATTTTGAGCATGAGATTACGAGGGGACCGCCACCTCGTGTTTTGTACAAAGACACAAGCAAAAGAGTATCCTCTGAACACAGGGCGTATATGGGCTCTTCGCAAAAAAGAAATTGGACACATTGGTAGATCGCAAACTCAAAAACCCAGCGAGGGGAGGCGAGCTGTGAAGGGCAATAACGAGATTTGGGATACGAGACTAAGAGGAGAACGCTACATGAACCTTTTACAAGAAGACACAGCAAGGGAATAGAGAGAAGAAAACAGCTTTGCAGTGGTTCTGGAATTTTAATCTGGCCGGGTGGATGGCAAGTTGGATGTACGACGGCAGAAGTAGGCTTGGACCGGTTCAAGGAGACCGGCTTTAAGACTCCTTTTATACAGAGACATGTAAAGCGAACACACTTCGATTATAAATCTGCAAGCCGAACTGAAAGAACGCATATATCGACGTCCCGCGACCTGAGAACACGACGACGGAAGCCGGTTGGAAAGGACAGTTACGTGATTTGAGACATGAGATTACGAGGAACCCGCTACATAACTTTTCCTATACCAACCCCCCCCCCCTTTCCTGCGGCACGAAGAAGAAAAGAAAAAAAAGCAAGCCTACACTGCACCAATTCCTCTACATGGCGGATATGTCTCTCTCCCACTCCTTCTATACAGCAACACAATAAAGCTGCGAACAATACCAAGGAAACTTGAGATTGGCTACACGGATATATTACACATCCACAACAAACAGTCTTTAGTGCGGGACTGGGACGAGAAGCTACGTGTTCTGGGACACAAGAATTACGCAAAGGAATGTTATACCGTGTATTCGGGGAAATAAAGAAAAAGAGAGAGAGAAAGGGAGGAGAACAAGGTTACCACGGACACAGTTTGATTGGATACATGACCACTCCGCGAGGATTCGCTCGCGCTATTTGCGGTTGTGTGTGTGTGTGTGTGTGTGTGTGTGTGTGTGGACGCCATATTCGCGTATTGAGCGATGGCAGCTCTTTTTTTTGTTGTTGTTGAAGTCTTGGACGCTGTTTTGACGAGAATGAGGCGGTTTATATAAGAAGGTGGGATGTATGCACTTAGTATAGGTGCTTGTGGAGAGAGAGAGAGAGAGAGAGAAAGAAGATATCTATCAAGATATACCGCTGTGGTGATGGAGGAAGATGGATAGCTATAGATGTCTCTTTTGAATGACCCACCAAATGGGACATCGGCTATATAAGGGATGTATTGCATAACCTGAATCCTGTTGAAGTACCGCCGCATCGCCTACGTTTCGAAGTTGGTTGCGTGTTATTACTCTGCTTAAGAGACTTTGCGTACGAGCGGTCAGCTAGATAGTGCAAGACGGGATGGCTCTTCTATACACTGCCTGAGCGAACAAGAGAATTAGTTGGAACCTGTACTCTTTGGATCTATTTTCGTCTTCTTTTTCTGCCATGTAGATTATATGAGAGTGAAGAGTAGGACACAACTGAAGCCATTATGCGACACCTCTATGGGACTAGCTATCATCGAAGTATCAACCAAGCCACCATGTTCAACACTATTCTTTATCAAGTGATTGGGCAAACTCCTTTTCGTGCTCTGGCAGTCCATCTATATATTCACCCAAGAGAGTCTTCAAGTCTTCCTCAAAAGGTTCACCCTGGTCGGCTGCCATCTGCCTACGTAACGCGTGTGCCTCGGACATGGCGTGAAGAGTGTCAGTGATTTTCTTCTTGTCTATGCATACTTCATGTTAGTTGGCAGCTCCTCTCCATTTTCTGACATGACATGTCATTGGAGTGATGCTGCGTTCTTCGAATCAAGCCATCTGCTAGGGACATATCACTGACTAATGTTTGGTTCATCTGGTGCTGGTATCTCCTGGTCAGGGTTCATTGGTGGCACGCCTTTTTCCCAACGGCTGAAGACATTGATTGTGCCACAATCGCCTACAGCAACACACCACTGGCCGTCACGGCTCCATGAAAAATGGCGAAAAGCGAAAGCTTTGTACTTTGGTGTCTCCACAATCTTGTGTGCTTTGATGGAGCGGAAGGGATCGGATATGCCTCTATCACGAACAACCTCCTTTACTTTCTTTTGCTTCATTTTAGTGTTCCCGGAGCCGGCGCTAATGGCTGAGGAGGCGGTCGAGGCCGAGCTGCCCTCTCGAACATGTCGGGGAAGACCCAGCGGTACTTCTTTTCCGGCATAGAACTTATCGTCTCCTGTATTTGATTCTCCTGTTCCAGAGTTTTCAAGGCGTTGAAGGTCCCAGAAAAATGTCTTGCTCTTTTCATTGCCCGCAACCAGGATGGGATGGTGGCCGAGTTCGTGGAAAAGGGAGAAGCGAATGTAGAATTGATTAGTATATGGCAAATCAAATTGGAGCAGCCGCTGGAAGCGACCACCCCATGCTGACCGTGTGTTTGATGTCTGATTAGCTGATATCGTGACTGGTGTGCGACTGTTGACTGCGCTTGATGTCGGAATAGGTGCAGCAGGCGTAACGGTACGGTCTGAGCTGAAGTGGTCGATACTCCAGAGGATGATTTTGCCTTCTCGGCATGCATGGCTAAAAACCAGATCATTGTACCATTGGATGCTAGTAAAGATCAGTTCATGCAACCCGATAAGCCGGAATAAGGATACTTATGTACCAGTCTATAAAATCGGTATGGATTTCAGTGGTGGAAAAATGCGGGTAATGCACCATTACCGGCTTATCGGTTCCGGTATGCTCTTTGAGATCATCCGGGACAGCCCACTGCACGTGTTTGTTAGAAGAAAGCTTTTCAGCGTCCCTTCTTACGAGGTGCTTACTAGATTGATCTTGGTATCCATACCCGCAGTGAGGATGTATTTTCCTTTGGGGTGATATGACTGCCAATGTCAGTTGATTTCATTGGCCACACTGGCAAGCTACACACTAGGGTCAAGATCTGATCTTTGTGGCCTTGGCCGTAGCATACGGCCCCAAGCGGTTGCTTCTCATGCGAAGGGTGCAGGCTCCACAAGCGGAGGCTGTGGTCAATGCTGACTGATGCGATGATGGTGGGATCGACCGGGGATATGGCAAGGTCGTTGACGGACTGCTTGGCGTCAGATGTGTATATGACTTGCAGCAGATATGCTTACATCGCCATGGCCTATCAGCGTCTGTGACATACGTCAGCGGGTGGTGTAGGATGGGTGCCGCAGAACGTGCCGCCGAGAGTTCACCAGTTCGGACATTGAGAATCTTGATACGGGAGTCGCAGGCTACGCACACGAGTGGGTCTCCATTGGTAGCCTGAGACCACACGACGCTGTTGTACCTGATTTGCTGAACAAAGAAAGGGCTGCATTAGCAATAGCAAGCCATGGGCGCGGCGACCAACCTTGGGATTCGTTGAACCATTTTCTGCAGTGGTTTCCTCATCTTCAAACCAGCGCAAGATCTCGATGGTGCCATTCTTGTCGAGAACGCATCGACAGACAATAGTCTAGATGGATGGATGGATGAGCGGTGGGCATGCAGGACCAGGCACAAAGTGAGACGTACAAACGGGCCGCCACAGACAGCGAAAACGGGATCCAGACCGGGTGCAGTGTAAGGATAGAAGTCGACGTCGTAGAATTGGGCTAGTACCAAAGTGGTCAGCGATGCATGTAGCGAGGCCTGATTTGACCTTACTGGAGCTAAGCTTAGACTTTGTTTGGCCCTGGGGGAGAGTTAGTAGTGGCTACTGCCCAGCTGAGTTGGGTGGGTTACGCCTAGTCGGATGGTGCCCCTCAGAGTAGGCAATTCCCAGCTGGCTTCCATCTTGGCATGCGTCTGGCGGAGATGGTCAAAAAAAAAAGCTCAGGGCGAGGGGGCGATGTGCAGAGCAGGGCTCCGGTGGGCGGGTCGCAGGGGGTCTGGCCCTGCACCGGCTTGATAAGAATCGGACCTTGAAGGCAGAAATGAGGCGGAGGGGGCGTGAGCCGGGGATGTGGGAAGTTATTTTTTCCTCTGGGAGTCTTGCCAAAGCGGGCGGGTGTCGCAAACGGAGAAGAGGTGAAGGAAGATGGTTTACGCGCCTACAAGCGCAGCTACCAATGAGGAGGCGTGGTTGTGAGCAGGGGTGGCTTGAATGTGGCTTGTGGCGTAGGCAGGACGATCGTCGATGACGAAATACAGTTGAGCGGTCGAAACAACGAGGTAACCAGGTGGTGGTACCACTGGCTGCGCACAAAGGCGGATAGGCTAGGGGGCAGGCTCTGATGGCAAGCCCATGTATGTATTCCCGTACGTGCGTACGAGTGGATGTAGGCGTAGGCGTGACTGTGCAGTGCTGCTGCAGAGACCGGAAAGATGACGGCGAGGCGCTGGGGGGCGGAGGTGGCTAGCGGACGGGCTGCAGCGTCCATGTGGTGATGGGCAGGGCTCCTTGGCTAGAGTACATGCACACACGTCCTGCTACATTGCTACCACTACAGTACATACACACTACCGCTAACAAGCCCCAAGGCCATTTGAGGAATACATATCCCCCGCCTAGCACATGTCACCGCTGTCACAGATGCCCCTTGCCAGGCCCCGAACTCTCTCAAACACCGGCCTGGTCCTGACAGGTGACACTCTTGCTCTGTGCTGCTGCTTGACTCCCTTTCCTCCCCCCCCTCCTCCCCCCGCTGCTCGCAATGGTACGCTAGCCGATGCCTCATGGCCCCAAAGTCTCGTCTCGCTCCCGTGGCGCCACCTCCACCTACCGAGCCCGTCCTGATCAGCCCTCGCAGCTCTTGGTTCCTTTTGCCATTCCTTTTTTTCTGGCCCTGCGCCTGCCACTGCCACTGCCACTGACCTACGTACATGGTTGTCCGCACTACGTACCATGTACTACGCACTACTATAATCGACGGCAATCTTCAAATCTGACCTCGTATCGCCTTGTCCCCACTACCCAACTGCTCCTACCTCTTCTCCCCATCCCGCCTTCACCCTGCTCACCTCCCTGTCCTGGCCCCCGGCACAGCTGCAGCCGTTCGCTCTGCTCGCTCGCATTGTTTAGGCGTCGTTCCCACCATCCGGAACTCCTCCCTGTGACCCCAACCCCACAAGCGAGCCAGGCCCAACGTCAACCAACCGCCTTTTTCCGGCCTCACAGGGGTGTGGTGCGCGTCACTTTCGGCCCTCTCGTAGCTTTCTGCTCATTTGCACACGCTGCATTCTGCATATGCTCCTGGCCTCTAGCTTGTTGCGGCGCGCCCTATCCCTGGACTGCCTCATATATCCGTACCCAGTTGCTCCATTCCTGCCCCAACGTGGGTGAGGGGCTGTGGATACACCGCCATCGCGCATTACATCATTGCAACTGAATCGCATCCTACTCGGCCTCTTGTCCCATTCACTCCCACAGCGCGCTCGTCTCGTGTCGCACCCGTTTCACTGCGCTGCGCTCCCTCGTCGCCATTCGCATCCGTGCGCAACGGTCCGGCCAACGTGCTCTCGTCCCACCTGGACCCTGACTATTTGACCTGCCCGCACTCCCTCGCCGCCTGCAAGTCCGACACCGTCCCCTCTCCTAGAGCGAATTATTAGATTCTGTCTCTTTGGGGCAAGAGTGAGTGAGTGAGTGGTCCAAACACGGTCCAAACACAGCTGCTGTTCTAGTCCACCCTTTCTTGTTTGCCTGCCGCAATGGACACCACCTTCATCACCATCCATGGTATGTCCCTTCCATCTCGTCTCTCCGGAACCCACACTCAGCCTCGACAGACCTCTCCGACGATGCCCACATCCTGTACTCGTCTGATTCCATTGTCGACATCCTCGGCCACACTCCCGACGAGGTCGTCAACAGGTCCGTGTGGCAGTTTTTCCATCCAGACGAACTGCCCCTCGCCAAAGCACAGCACAGCCGCGGCGTGAGGCTCGACAAGGCTGCCGTCTTGTCGTACTGTCGCCTGAAGAATCGCCAGGGCGAGTGGGTCGGCTGCGAATGCTGCTTCTCCGTCGTCCACGATGTGCTCGTATGCTGCACCAGCGTCTACCGGCAGGGCATGCAGAGTCAGAGTAAGCTGCTAACTCCATTTGTCGCTCCATGCATGCTGACCCGCACCAATCAGAGCGTGCAGTTGAGGCGCCCATAGTCCGCAAGTTATTCGCTTCCTCCCCAAAAGACCCTCGCTATCATATGCTGTCTCACTTATCAACCAAGTTTGACCTTGGCCACGAGGATCAGACCCATGAGCCCCGAGCTGCCCTGTTTCTCAACAGATTCACCCGCACCCTGACTGTCATGTACGCAACAAGCGGCATAGAGCAGATCATTGGCATTTCGAGCGAGGCTATGAAGGGACGCAGCTTCTACTACTGCATAGCTCCAAACTGTCTCGAGGATGCCGTCCGCTGTCTCGAGTCGGCCAAAGGTAATGACTCGATTGCCTACATGCGCTTCTTCTTCCGAGACCCCCGTCAGGACGACCCACCAGAGGCTAGCTCATCCGAAAGTGAGGACGATATCATGACCGATGTGACTAGCTCAGACGAAGAGTCTGAGGGTGGTGTGGGGCTTGGCACATCAGGTGATGCTAGTTCTAGACAACCCTCTGTTGCAAACAACAGCACCAACGGGAGCGCAGAGGCGTCAGCCTCACGCTCAAACTCAAGGGAAGATCCCAGCTATCGTTCAGCTGGCTCAGCCACCCATCAGGCAATGCTTGGCGGCTCTGCGCCCCGCTCTTCCATCTCGTCTGCGAGCTCGTCTCGTTCTGAGCCCCGTGATGAACCCATCGAACTCGAAGCTGTTATATCATGCACCTCGGACGGACTTGTCGTGTGCCTGCGTCGTGCGCGCCCAATGTTGCCAGGTGCTATGCCTGTTGCACAGCCAGCCCACCAGTACAATGGTATCTTTGCGGCTCCCTGGGCAACACAACCCGTGTTCCATCCTGCACTGCCGCAGATGCCTCAGTACCCTCTAGGTGCGCGACACCCGGCCATGGCACATGCGGGACCCTCGATGGACTTTCAAAATAGCTTCATGAAGAGCATTCGTGACGTTGCCGTCTTTGCTTGGGCACTCACTGGAATCAACGGCAGCCTTGTCGACTATGCTCGTGGTAAACCAGTCGGCGAGAGTCAGCCTCGAGATGGCTTTTCTATCTGGAATCCATTGCCAGAACCAACCGGCTTCGGCGGGAAGCAACTGTCTGTGCCTCCGTCAGGTTATGGGTCTGGGTCTAACAGCTCCGCTAGCAATGATCCATTTGGGTTTGGGGACCCTGGTCGTTGAGATCTTTGATCGCTGCACATGCGCTTGAGTCGGTCCCAAGCGCATGGCACAATAATATGGGGTGCTTTGTCATCGTGGACATTACCGGCTTCAGTCTTTTTTGTCCGACTGAAAAGAGCAGCCAGACTATCATGTCAACAGAAGTCACTGTCATGGCATCTTGCTGGTACGTTATGGAATCCACCCGAGCAATTGCACGGAATATACCAGGTCGCATAGCACTATGTTACTAGATATGATATGCTTTGTCGGACCACTCCTCTCATTTTCTATCTTGTTGTATAGTATATCAATAATCAAAAAAAAACCTAAGATTTCAAACCCAGTACCGGTTACTCGCATGTACACACATTGTCGCGTTGTGCAGAATCATTACATGGACGTCGAACTGCATTCTATCCATATGAGAATCCTGGCAATTTACTTACAAGATGTCGCGTTCGAACATTTGTGCCCATTGGCTGGCCTTGCCCTTGCATCCCTGTCAGTCCTGGTTCTGAAAATGCGGCGGGGTTGAGGCTGAAATCCAACCCCCGTCCCTCTTCAAACATGTCCAGGTATTCGAGTTATGATGCTTGCAGATGTTCCCCTAGCGGTCGTGCAAAACCGAGGCTCTTTGTATCACCGTCTTTGTTAGCGCCGTGGCGCGCGCTTGAGGCCATCGAGTCTCCAATTCGGGTCATTCTCTTTGTTGTAACTGTGCCGAAAATCGGATAGTGCGGATACATGGTACATGGAGGCTCGTCTCGAACGCCCTAGCCGTGGCTACCCATGAGCATTCTTTGACATGTTGAGCTGCGTGCTTCGTATATGCGTCCTTGTTTACATTACTACTGCCATGGTAAGGTAATAGACTACAGTACTGACTATGCCCCTTCATCTAGACTTTTTTTTTCCTTCTCAGAATCAAAGTCTTCCTTTGATCTCACTACACTTTTGATGACAGACGTGCAGGCCACTCATTTCAAAAGGGTTTACAATTACAATAATACTTGTGAAAATGCGTGGGTCACGGTGCTGGGCGGTTGCGTATCTTCACTTTCTTCTTGTTTCTATCCAACTTCCTACAATATGTTTGGCACACGACAGTGTTCAGCTCGACGTTCAAGTCGTAACAGCATCAGCGACAACACCAGACCAACCGAGCTCGACGATCACAGCAACAACACAGACGCATACGATTCAAGTTGGTTTAGCAGATCACAAGTTCAGACCTGAGGCAACAGTGGCCAACGTCGGTGATGTAAACTGGCTTGTTACTCTCGATACCGACCTCTATCCTAACCGTTTATGTAGACTGTGGAATTTGCCTTTTACCCGCTCAACCACAGCGTTGTTCGCGCCGAATACGGTTTCCCATGCATACCATATGAGATGACAGGAGCGTCCAAAACAGGGTTCTTTTCTAACTTCCATCCTGTCGACACGGTCTTGTCCTCACCACCCATATACCGTATTGTTATTAATGATACCGATCCCATCTTCTTCTACTGCTCTGCCCCTGGTAGTTGTATAAACTATGGCATGGTGGGCGCTATTAATCCCAACGCCACGGCTAGTGTGCAGGAGCAGCATCAGCTGGCACTGGGCAGCAAATACATGCTCAACCCAGGCGATCCCTTTCCAGCCGAAGAAACACCCTTATCAAGAAATTCACCGAGCAAGCAACCGAGTGGCACTCCGGCATCCAGTCCTATCACAGAGAACACAACCAACACTAAAAGCCGTCTCTCCACCCGCGCCATAATCGCCATGTCCGTCACCAGCGCCAGCATCACCATCCTCGCCGCCCTCCTCTTCTTCTTCTGGGGCCGCACCAAATCCCTAAAAGAAGAAATAAAACGCAAAGCCGGTCTATCTCCCCGTCCACCCACATCTCCAAGCGACGAAACACGCATGTTGGACTCTCGAGCCGAACTCGGAACTAGCAGTTCAGGACCCGACAACAGTACCAACAGCAACAACGCCCTGCACCGCCACCACCACCACCTCCTCCACCAACAACAACAACAACAACAACAATACTACATGCACCCCCACATCCCCTCCGTACCCCCAGACAATCCACCAACCCCATACCACCACCCCTATCCCACCCACCCAGCCTACCCCCCTTCCTTATCTCAAATCCCCCTATACTTCCCTCACCCCCCTCCTACGCGCCCCCAGACTTCCTCACCAAGTCCCATCCCAACACCACCACCATCACGTTCGCACATCCACCCATCCTTCCTACCCTCACAGGCTACACAAGGCAAATACGACATCCCGAGCCCCATGGTGCAACATCCTGCATATCTACCTGTTGAGTATTATGCTGCTCAGCAACAGCAACAACAACAGCAAGTGCAAGTGCAGGTCAGACATGAATTGAGTACTTTGGGCGATTCTGATGTCCTCGGCGGCGTAGGCGTAGGCGTCGGTAGCGGTAGCGGTAGTGAAGGAGGAGGAGCAGGAGCAGGAGTAGCGGGTAACGCAGATACCATTACACCCGTTCAACAAGAAGGAGAAGGAGAAGGAGAAGGAGGGGTACAGAAGAGTGAGCTAGGGGTTCCGAGTCCGAGGGTTGATTGTGCTGGAGAAGAAGGAGGAGAGAAGGATAAGGTGCCGGGGTATTTTGATGCTGTGTTTGATAGACGGTTGAGGAAGTAAGCGGGAGGGGTGAAGTTGGGGATTTGAAGGAAGAGGGGGGGTGGCGTTTTTTCTCTCTTCTTCTTCTTCTTCTTTTGTTAAATATGGTTTTTTGCGGGTGTGGGATGCGTGGATGTGGATTGGAAATGTGGATGTAATAACCCAATTCTTCTTTTTTTCTTCGATTGTGTAATCTTTATTCGGCGGTTCTTTTTTTTGCTGCTGCTGCTGCTGCAGCAGAGGGGATGGACGGGTTAGAAGTGTGGGTTTCCTGGATGTATAATGAGGAATGTGGTGTTGGGAAAGGGGAGGGAAGTATGCATTTACTACTTAGATATCTTCATTCAAATATTTGCATCTCTCTCTCTCTCTCTCTCTCTCTGATTTATTGCACTCCTTGTCAGAGTGACTTGAAATGTGTTGTATTGTATTTGTATGTATTGTATCTTAATGAGAGAGAGATAAGAGAAAGCAGGTCAAAGCGTGCTTATTCCCCACAAAGTTTCCTATCCATCAAAGACAGTCGAGAGGATATTCAAGGGCAACAACAAGACAGGACTGTTAGTCAGTCAGTCAGCCACTGTGTCAATAATGCTATTTCGCTCTGATCTAGCAATCATCTGCTTTACAACACACTACCCAGGCCAATCAACCTCTCATTTGCACATTGCAATAATGGAAAATAAATACTCGAGCTCGCTCTCGCTTCGCGGCGAAGGAAAAAAGAGTTGTCCTGCCTTTTGTTCTTTTTTGTAATAGTATATAAGTCTCTTTCCCATCCCTTGCACACACACACACACACATCATATTTGAGTCAGACCTCACCGCTCACTACACCCCTGTCGCCCCTTCAATGACATCAAATCAATGAGTTCAACAACAACAAAAAAAAATAAGACCCCGAGACCGAACACTTCAAGTCGTCTGGATAAAGAACAGAGAAAATAAGAGAAAAAAAAAGGGGTGGGAAGAAAAATCATTCGACTTATAATCATTACATATTTTTACACTCCGGAAAAAAAAAGGAGGAGAAACCACGCGAGTCGCCCGGCGGCCCGTAAAAACTGGTTGCAAAACAAGAGCGGGGGTATCGTGAATCATGTCGCTCATATCGAAGTAGAAGTAGCCGCAATAGTAGGTGCAACGGATACCTCGGTAGGCTTCGGCTCCTCTGCTACGGGTGCCAGGACAGGTTCCACGGCCTTGGGCGGTGGAGAGTTTGTGTTGGGAAGACTGGCTGTCGATAGCGTTGGAGAGCTTGTGGATTGCGATGTAGTCAGTGGCGGCGTGGCATTTGAACCGGTCGACTGTGTCTGAGCCAACTTGGTCTTGCGGTTGCGATTGGTGTAATCACTTAGACTGAGCTTTTTGCGTGCTGGCGTTGCCTTGATGGCACTGTTGACAGCAGGGGAAAAGGGCGATGCAATCGTTGATGCGGCTGGAGACGGCGCAGCGGCATTTTCGGTTACGGGTGCAGAGCTCGATGAAGAAGTGGTGGGGGTGTTGTTAACTGCGCTGGTCGAATCCGGCTTCACAGGAGTTTCGACTTCCATATCAGCAGAATGAGGTGGGAATTCTGCTGTGGATTTTGGTGATGGTTCGGTTGGTAGTGAGGCCGACCACGGCGGGGCAGATGGTTGATTAGGTGGACAAGAGGTTTCGCGCGGAGTCTGGGGTCTAGGCACGTCAGATGGCTCCTCAGTCTTTGGTTCTGGAGACTTGGGAGCAGCGACTTCAGCATCTGTCATCTCAACATCTACAGTAGGCTGAGGCGAGGGCTCCTTGGCGGGGGTGAGTTCCTTGTGCTGCCTCGTGTCAGGTACGGGCTCTGTCGATGTATCCATTGCAGAAGGTTCCTCGAGTGGTGGCGACGGTGGCAGTGGAGAAGGCTTGTTTGAAGACACGTCTTTCAGAGCTGGGGATCGGACTTCCATCTTCACAGATGTCGACCGCATTCGTTCGCGTTGCAGCTTGTCCTCTTGAGCTTGCTGTAAAAGCTTGCGCTTGAATGACATTGGAGGCTTCAACTGGCGCGGCTTGATGCAAGCCGGTGGCTTTGCATCGTCATCCTGTGCCGTCTGCGTCGACGCATCCACATAGACGGGCTTTGGTCTGGCCGGTGCACGCCCGTTTGTCTTTATGGAACTACCTGAAGTCTTGCGGGCGACACCGTGGCTGTGTTCCCGATGACGAGCTGACGGCGAAGGCTCGGGGTGTCCGGAGCGTCTCTGTTTTTTTTGGAATTAGAAAGATCCGGTACAGAGAATATTTGGGGGGAAGGGGGAGGGAGACTTCTTACAGAAGATGGGACGTTCGGTGTATTGAGGTTGGATCCAGCGCTGGTGCGTTTTCTCTTTCCCTTGTGCTCATCGTGATCGAGCTTCTGGAACAAGAGCTCCTGGTGCTGGATTTTCCTCTTCTCACGCTCTGATAGTTTGAGATCGCCATCCAGGGAAATATGGGTTGCTGGTGTGATGTCGCGACTGCTTGATTTGTGGGAGCCAGATGTAGAGCGGGCGTCCATTTGGTCGTCGTCAACAATGTCGCGGTTGGCCAATTCGCTGCCTGCACGGCTGTTGGTTGCATGGCCGGTGCTTGTAGGGGACGTTTGAGATTTCTTCATCTTCTTGCCTTTGGTCTTGGCTGACTCTGTGACGGGATTGTTGCGACGGGCTCGCTCCAAAAGGCACTCGTTGCCGTTGGAAATGTCACAAGCACAGCCGCCAAAGTTTGCGAGGACACACGAGACCCAAGGCTGGATCTTCCTGAAGCCCTCCTTGGCGCCGTTGGTGACAACTTTGGCCAGTTGCTTTTGTACCTCCGAGTCAATGTCCCAGCCAACGGTGAGCTCTTCTCCAGGACTGATTTCGCGTGTTGCCAGGAAGCTAAAGTGGTAGTCGTTGCTCGAGTCAATTAGAATCTTCATGGACATGTTTGGGTTACAGCTCCTTCTGGCGTATCGGAGTATGTTGCCTTCGCGCCGCGTGTCAATGTAGATGGGTAGGTGAGGAGGGAAGAAGACAAATGGTTCGGGATGTCGCAGGAGATCCCATCGATTTGACGGGTCTGAATAGTAGTCGGTTTTGCGGCCGATGAGACCCTTGAGCTCGCCTACGTAACCTCCGTCAGGGACCGGTGTCTCGGCTGTAATAAAGTGCCACTGAGGGTGAAGGCCATGCGCTAGTATAGCCGAGTCGACATCTGTCTGTTTCACGATTTCTGGCGCAGTTTTGGTTTCGAGATCCTGTATGGTGCTGTCAATGCGTGAAAAAATGTCTTGTGGCTTCTTGCCTCCGCTTGCCTCTGCAAGCGCTTCTGGGTCTTGAAGCCACATGGCAATGTCGTTGGCAACATCGATGCGCGTGTAAGAGTTGGATTCCGCAGAAGGCGGCTCAGGCTGACGGTACAGATGCATGAACTCGTACGAGTAATCCTCGACGGGACCATCGGGATTCGACGGTGACTTGACAGGGCTGTGGCCGTTGAGCAGGATAGACGCGCCTCGCTTGCGTGATGTGGGCGCAAGAGCTGGCGCTTGACTAACAAGGCTCATGGATGCAGAGGAGCGATGGTTGGTCTTGGGCCGCTTGTTTGGTGGAGGCTGGTCTCGTGGGCTTCCGCTCTTGCGGTCAGGGGGATAATGTAGGTCGCCGTTGGTTTGCGTGGGCCAGGCATTGGCCTGCATTGGCACGAGCGAGTCCTTTGGGCGCTTCTTGGGGTTCTTTGCAGACGCCTTTGGCCGGCCTTTGCGCTCGCCAATGTTGTGCATCTCTCTCCGGATGCGTTGCTTCTCCGAGGCGCTCTTTGCGTCGACCAGGCGCGGCAGGCAGTCTGCGCATTCGTGCACGTCAGGTACATGCTGTGCAGACTCGTAGTAGCACACAATGTGCTGCCACGTGTCGCACTTCTCGCACAGCACCGTATTGCCATCATCGTCAGCGTAGCCGCAGATGCACTTGATTGTCGACGATTCTTCCTCTTCAACGACGCCGTCTAGGGGTGGAGAAGCTTGGGCAAAGGCGGGTGGTGGTGGAGGAGCAGCAGCAGCAGCAGCAGCGTAGAGGGCGAGGGGAGCCGGCTGAGGATCAGCATACGCCTGAACCGCCGAGACGTCTGTCATAATCTGGCAAGGGCAGGGTCGGTACTGAGGAGTGGTGTTTGTGTAGTGGGTGCTCAAGATGTGTGTTGTGGGGATCGCATGACGCCCAGGACGCGGACAGGGAGAGCAGAGCTACCAACGGCAACTCGAGACGCAACGAGCGAGCAGCACCAAGGATACGAGTGGGAACAGCAGGATTCCAGGCGCTTATGGAGCGGATGCAGCCAAGGGGAAGAGGGTTGCGTGTCCAGTTGCAGCGCGAGCTGGCAAGCTAGAGGGCGACAACACGGGCTCGGAGACGTCAGTGGCAAGGCGATATCTCGCGGATATCATGAAGAGAGGCTATTGAGACGTTTTGCGAGACGTGATGGGGTGCGCCGGTGGCCAGGCAGGGTGGTGAGGATGCGAGGCTCGAGGCGGCGTCGGAGGGAGCAGTCGGCTGGGAGGGGGGGGAGGACGAGGACGAGGACGAGGACGAGAGGAGACAGCGGCACCAGAGGAGAGGGCGCGCGCACTCGTGGCCGTCGAGGCGGATGGCGGGTGGGGTTGCGACGTTAGCACAGCAGATGGAGGGCAGGCTGGTGAGGGCAACGGGGGCGTGGTGCGGTATGGGAGTCAGAATGGCAGTGGAGAATCGAGCGTGCGAATGTCGTGAGAGAATGAATGGCCCCGACGCTGGCGAGCGAGACGGGCTTAGCGCACATGGTCTGTGCGCGGTACCCAAGGACAAGGCCAGGAGGGAGGGCTAGAGGGCATTAGTCACCGAGGGGTTGCAGGAAGCGCGGTCTCAAGATATCAGCATGTGGCTGGCGTGGCCGTGGCGGCCGCCGCCGTCGCCGAGCCACAACGCGGGCAGAGTGGAGGCTTGGGGCCCTGGCGGCTCTGGGGCGAGGTGTTGCATCGAGGACAGGATATGCAGGCATCAAGAGCGAAGAGTGGATGGTACGGCTGATATGGGACGAGCAGCGAGCAGCGAGCAGCGAGCAGGACATGCGGCAGCGCTGGGGGGACGACGTTTGGGCGTGGATGTGACGAGAAGAAACGGCAGCAGCGGATTCCGTGGAGCAGGCAGCACAGGGCCCCGCAGCCAATCAGCGCCGCCGCCATGGCTGGACGGCCGGGGTGTGTCTGCTTTGGCGCGCAGATCGAGTTCGCCTGCAGTCCGAGCGTTGGCTGGGTTGGCTGGGTTGGCTGGCCTGCTGGCCTGCTGGCCTGCTGTGACGGAGCCCGCCCTGGGCCTCTCTCCCTGTGCCTCTCTCTCCCTGCGCCCGTCTCTCCTGCCCTCTTGCTCTCTTGCCCTCTTGCCCTCTCTTTCGCTTCCCGCACCGCCCTCTGCCCTGCGCGCCAGCCCACCAGCTGCATACGGCGGTGCGCGTGCATGCATGCGCCGCTGCATTGTCTCCATGTCACTACATACAAATGTGCGCGGTGCCGCTGTTCACCCGGCCAGCCAACGCGAGAGGCGGCGAATCGTAAACACGCACAGGGTGCCCGCTGCTGAAACACTGCGCCGCCACCCAAACGTCATTGCCAACGGCCTGCAGCAGCTGGGCCGCCTGCCATAGCACAGTAGCAGCTAGCATATGTACTGATGCTACTTATATCACACGCCCACCCAGCACCTTCGCTTGCTTTGTTTTGTGCCCACGGGCCCTTGCGACCCAAGCACGTCCCCCTCCCCCGAACAACGACTGCCTGGTCATTGTCGTCGTCGTCGTCGTCGTAGCCCGCCCTCTCTCGCCTTGCGTCCACAAATGACCCTGACGCAGTTTGTCCGTCCGTCGGCCCTGCCGGTCGCGCCTGCCCGTTTCCCTGCCCCCCGCCTTCCAATGAGCTCCTTCCCTCTCTCCGCTCTCTGCAACCATACCATATCGCGACTCAATTTCCTTCCACGACCAATTTAATTCCCATTCACCCGCCTCGCCCGACGGAAGACACTGGCCGTGACACACCCAACATGCTAGACCGTGGGCTAATATATAAAATGCTACATGATAGACCTGTCAATGTCAACAGAGTCGCCTGCCCTGTTCATCATGGCGGCGCTTTTGGGCCTCCTCTCGCCTTTCTATCTGCTCCTCTCTGCTCGCGCATCTGGCGTGCCCAGCCCTCAGTCAATTGCATCTGATTTGTCCATTATTACTCACAATGACCTCTATGGCCACGCTTCCACTAGACGAGCCGCAGGCATCCTACTAACTACCCCTTATACCTATTCGGCCGCCCGTTCCCAATGCGCCGCTCTCGACACCACGCTCTGGAATCCCAGCAGCTATGCTCAAGACCCAGCCTATCTTGAATACCTCAGTTATGCAAAACTTGCCGGTCCTGACTGCCTCTTCTGGGTCCACGGCAACTCAACCTCACAGTGCACAGCAATATCAACTCGTGGCCAGTTGGAGCACTACCCATGTGACAAGCACTTGCCTGTTTTGTGCTCAACCACTGCCGCCTCCACCTCCACCTCCACCTCCCTACCCCGCATCGCCGTCACAACTAACAATGCTACCATCATAGGCCGTCGGGATGACTCCTCCCCGTCTTTTCGTTTCTTTGGCATCAAGTATGGCGCTCTTCCAGCCCGCTTTGCCCACTCGACATACTTACCCCCTACGCCCGGTTCAAACACGACGGCACTCGACTATGCTCCCATATGTATGCAGGTCTCGTATGCCTCTCCAGACCCAAACGTCTATGCCGAAGACTGCCTCTTCCTCAACATATGGACCCCATATCTCCCCAATCCTGCAAACAAAACTCCAAAGCTCAAGGCCGTCATGGTCTGGCTGCATGGCGGCGGTTTCCTCACTGGAACAGCAAGTGATCCTACTTATGACGGCTCTGCCCTGGCATCTCGAGGAGACGTTGTCGTCGTGTCCGTCGACTATCGCCTGTCCACCCTCGGCGGTCTTGCCCTAAGCAATTCTTCACTGACAGGAAACTATGGTCTCGGCGATGTAATTACTGCCTTGGATTGGGTTCGTGCTCACATTGCTGATTTTGGCGGTGACAAAGACAGGATTACCGTCTTCGGACAGAGTGCAGGAGCGTCTCTGGTAAGAGCCTTGCTGGCATCACCACTGGCACAAGACAAGTTTGCTCGCTCAATCATGATGAGCAATCCTCAGGGCATGGGCTACTCGACATCTTTTTCAAAATACTCGACTATTGCAGAGGAAACCAAACGTACCCAGGCTCTCGTTGCTGAAGTGGGCTGCGGGCAACTCCAGGGTGAGGATATGGTCCAGTGCCTACGCAAGGTAGATCCATGGGCATTGATCAATGCAAATAACGCTGCCGGGTCAGTCACTTCTCTTGTCACAGTATTCCGTGGAGAGAGAGTACGAATCAACAGCAAGCTAACAGTCACTCAGTTTCCCAGTCATTGATGGCAAATTGCTAACAGGTCCCCTCCTTCTTAACCCATCAGCACCTAAAACAAGACAACCTGTCATGATGGGCATCCTGCACGACGACGGCTCAACATTTACGTCCTATCCAACCTCCTCCGATCTCTCCGTGGTCCTCTCTTCTCAAGGTTACCCTGCCTCCACCATTCCCACCTCAAACGCCTTTCCCCTTCCAGATATCACCAACAGTACGCTTGCTATTTTTAACCTCACCACAAGGGTAGCCACAGACGCCCAGCTGAGATGTTTAGGGCAAAGCACTGCCTACACCGGAACTGTAAACCGCATTTTCGACAAAGTCTACACCTACGAATTCAACAGATCTTTTCAACTTCAAGGGTGGAGTCCCAATCCCCCAGCTTGCGAAGCTCCCATCACACCAGACTACCCTTTTGGCAACCCAAATCTACCGTGTAAGTTACCATACTCTTCAAGAGAGAGAGAGAGAGAGAGAGAGGAAAAAACTACGTTTCAGGTTTCCAAAAAAGTATGCCCCAGTTACTAAATTTTTGAAAACACAGACTACAAATGCCACTCGGGCGATCTGACCACCGTCTTCGGCACCGTCGTCCCACAAGGCAGACCCCTTCGTGACGACTATGATATTCCCTTTTCCCAATTCGTTCTCGATTCCTGGACTGCTTTTGCGCGAACGGGCGATCCCAATCCGGATCCCGCCTTCTTGAAAGCTAGGGATTTCACAAATACTACAGCGATGCTTGAGGTGCAAGGGACTTGGGATCCGGTTGATGTCAAGAAGCCCATGTTGAAGGTACTAGATGTGGGGGAGAAGGGTGGTATGACGGAGTTTAGAGAGGAGGTGCAGTGCGAGGTTTTGGGCTTTGGGTTGGAGTATTACAATAAGTAGGTATGTAGGCATGGAATTGGTGTGTGCTTGGAGGATTTCGAATTGTATAGACTTTTTGACTTCTTCTTCTTCTTTCATGTCAAACTTTGGGACAAAGAGTAACAACGCAATCAGTGTGTCTATCTTTTTTTTTCAATTCCCAATTCAAATTCAAATTCATCACCTTTGAAATCCCTATTCAAGTCTTGAGGGTGGTTGTTATTTTTTGTTAAGTCATCAACCATTCCATTCATCCTCATTAATACATACATACAGGCTCTTTCCTCTAAGTTTCTATAACATATACCCTCCCCTTACATCATTCAATCATCTGCATGCATTCGGAGAAAGAAAAAAAGAAAAAGAAGAAGAAGACTTATTCAAAATCGACAAAAAAGATCAAATCCATCTCCATCCTCCTCCTCCTCTTCTTCTTCTTCTTCTCATTCCTTTTCCAACTCGCTTCGTTTCGCTTCGCTTCAACTTTCAGAAAGCAAGACCAGACCACCACCACTACCAAAAAAACCCCACACCAAGGAAACAGAAAACAGGGAAAGGAAAAAAAATACAGAAAACAAAAACAAGAAAAGATAGCATATACAAGATTTTTTTGGTATAAAGCCAAAAGAAAAGAAGAAAAAAAGAGAAGAGAAAAAAAAAGGGTCTAGCAATTCCCTTAGTACTACTACTACCACCATCATCACCTTCACCTTCACTTTGCGTATGCTTTGCGTGTCTCCCCCCCTTTCCCCCCTTTCATGACTTTACTTTGCCTTTTTCTCTCCCCTTCTCTCCCCTTCTCCCCTCTCCTACCATATCCCTAGTCTTTACAGCTGCAGAAAATAAAAGGCGGGGAGGGGAGAGAGAGGGGGGGGGAAACAGACGAGAAGAAATTAAAGAGAAAAAAGAGGAGGGGGGGGGATTCAGAAAGGGCCAAAAAAATATAAGAGACGGAGTGGAATCCGTCATACATGTCCGTTGTTCCATGCCTTTTTTTTTCTGCCTTGAATTTGCTTTGCTTTGGTTCACCTTTCTCCCTTCGCCTTTGATAAGTTTTGTCGTTTTGTGGAAAATATTAACATTCCAACCCCCCCCCCCTTCTCTCTCTTCCCCAACCTTCCCCCCTCCCTCCCCACCATTCCAGTTTCTCCTCAATATCTCTTGCTCTCGTTTCCAAACGAGAGACAGAAAACAAGAAAGAAAGAAAAAACAATGCCAAGGTGAGGGCAAAATCGTCATAGGGTATAGTCGAAGAGGATACCGGACAAAAACTCACTCAAGGCTTAGAGAAAAGGCTTCCTACAACTGTTCCTCTTGAACCTTTGTCACTTCTTCCCACAGCTGCTTTGCATTTTCCGCTTTCATCTATTTGCGCACATCCACGTTAGTTGTTTCCCAAAAAAAAAGTACGATTGTCATGAGAAAACAAATAAGAAGAAAAAAAAGGGTCCTTACCCTGAGTAGATGCATCTCCAGCTCGCCATCTTGATTGGGCGAGTTGAAGAGCAGACGTCCGTCCTTTGGCTTTTCGCCCTGCGCGTCGCCTCCAAATACCATTTTGCGCGTAACGGCCGCGTTGAGAAGTAGACGGTGGGTACCTTCGGCGCGGAGTACGAAGCGTGCTTTCTTGGGCTCATCCACTGTAATATTGAACTTGAACGTTCCCACACCACGCTCCTTCCATGCTCGGTTTGAGCCTTCGCCAGCCATGAGGTACAACTTTGCACGACCAGTCCAGATGGTTTGCTCGCCCTCTTCTCCAGTCTCGGGTGCTTTATCAAAGTTAGCTTCATCCTTCACAGTAGACAAGCAGAAGCTTACGGTGTTGCGAAAGAAGAGGCTGACTCGACTGCCGTTGCCGTTCCTCTTTCTCAGTACCCTTTTCCGGGTCTTCGTCATCGCCGTCCTCATCTTCCGAAGATTCGTCGTCTGCTGCTGCTCCAAAAGGTTTCTCCTTCTCCTTCAAGCCCTTGATTTCCAGATTGCCTCCAGGTGCTGCAAAGGATCCGATTGTCTTGACACCGCCCAGACCTCCAAATCCACCACTTAGCGACCCGCCAAAGGAACTTCCGCCAAAGGAAGATGTACCAGAGCCGCCAAGCGCACCAAATCCACCGCCGCCACCGCCCAGTGTTGATGGGGCTGCACTTCCAGCAAACGAGGATAGTTTGTTACCACTTGCTGCGCCAAAGGGCGAACTAGTACTAGGCTTGGAGCCACCAAGTCCACCCAGTCCACCAAACGGAGACGTAGTCGAGGCTGCAAAGCCACCAAAACCAGAAGCCTTGAACTTGTCATCAGATGTTTGCGGTAGCGAATCGGTCTTGTCCGAGGTCTTTGCTTGCTGAGGTTTGGCTGCCATGGCGGCGAAAGGCGATGATGCAGAGGTGTTGGCGAATCCGCTCCCCGGTGGAATCTAATGTTAATGTCAATTTTGCTACGACCAAAGAAAGATGCATATTCGCTAACTTACCTTGGTCTTTGACTCTGTATCTGTGATACTCTGGGTTCTTTCCTTGTCTCGCAGCCGCTTGGAATCACGCTCCTCGCTAAGAGCCGCGTCGCCATTTGCTGCTCCGATTTCGGTGCCTTTGGTGGTATCTTCAGTGTCGTTCTCGGCTTCCTCGCGCGATCGCTTGTTCTTTGGGCTTGTGTTGGAACCAGACCTCTTTTCGGTCGCAGCTGTCGCAGTGGTGGTCGATGCGCTCTTGCTGGGCGACGTCATATGCTCGTCTGTGTCGCTTTCCTTGATGCTCGAGATGGCGCTGCCGGCAGGTTTGGCGGGTATACCAGCCTCCAGATCCTTTGTAATGTCTCTCGATCTCTTGCGCGCATGGCGCTCAATCTTCTTTTCTGGCTGTTTGTCGGCATCGACATCATCCTCAAAGTCTTCGCGGCTGCGCTTTCGCCGTAACCGTCCGCGCTCGCTGTCTGATCCCGAGACGCTCTGATCGCCGGGTTTGGTGGTGCCGTTGGTCGCGTCTTTTGTAGCTTGGTCGGTGTCGGAGACGGGGTTTGATGTCGGCGGCACATCAATTTGGGTGTCTTTTAGCTTCTCCCTCACATTCTTGCCCTCGCTATCGCTGCTCTTGTCGCTCCGCGCAGGAGATGTTGGCGCCGTGCCTGTGATGTCTTTGGTTGCGGGGGTCGAGGTGACGGCGGCAGCAGCTTCGTGCTGTGTCTCTGGTGTGTCGGCCATGGTACAGGTAGGCTGTTATTATAGGCTTCAAGGAGGGGCTGATGTATGCGCTGCGGAGCGAGGATGGTCGGGTTCAAGGGTGGTGTAGACGATGGTTCGGGGACCGAGAGTGCGGCCTTGTGTGTTTGGTGTAGCTGGGATTGGGTAAATACGAAGAATGGCAAGTGCAGGGTAGTAGGGGAGTAGTCAAGTTGCGGTGGCCAGGTGCGACAGTCGCGCAGGTGATGCTCTGGCACGGCTAGCGGCGAGCTGAAGGTCAGACAATGGGATGCGGCAGGTCTTACCCGACAGTGTCAACAAGGACAGAAGGGGGGGGCAAAGAGCCCTGGGAATGGGAATGGGAATGTCCTGCTGTGGCTTGCTTTGTTCCAGCGGAGGGAAGTCTGTCGTCGATCGAGTGGTCTAGCAGTTGTAGTGGAGTCGGTCAAAGCGCCGCGTCCCAAATTTCCACTGCAATGCGCCGGTGCAGCGATGACTGAGAAATGCCAGGGCCAGTCCCGAACGCGTCTGCAGTGAGAGGTGGGTGGTGAACAGTGAACCCACGCTCTGTGTGCTGAGTGATTCGCTGAGGAGCAGAGGATTGGCGCTTCTGCCCGTCGTGGTCGAGTGCGTTGTCGCTGCAAAGACCAATGACGAAGTGGGGAAAGTGACCTGCCTAAACACAGGCGCGGGTCGCTGCAACTCGTGCGTACTGGGCTTTTCTTGGTGCATGCACGTCAGACTTGCAGCATCATCAAGGCGTGTCAAACGCGCTCTAGTATGGGGCGCTGCGAATAGTCCAGGTCAATTTACATATGTGAACATGCTCAGGGCCGAATCGGCGCCATCTCATCAAGCTTGCCCTGAACGCCCGGGGCCGTGTCATGCATCCCCTACCAAATAGTAGCACACTACTTTTACACCAAACCCATAGTAGCCCCATCCCACTCTAGCTGATGAAGCAAAGACAGCCCAGCGCAACGTAAAATACAAACAAGGGGTATACTGCAATCCCGACTCGGTTCCTCACGACCCCAGATCCGCCCATGATGCTCACACCAGCTGCCAGTGACCATGCAATCAGAACTACGTAGACGGGTATGCGCACAATGACGGGTATGCCGACAGCGCTGAGCACCGAGGCAATGACAAGCGGAAACAGAGTGTAGCCGATAATCGAGATGGACTGGAAGAAGGCGCTGTAGTAGCATTAGCATCTGTCCCATGAATACCTGAGAACCATGTACGAACATATTACCGCCCAGTAACTTGATCTGTAGCGTCACCACAGCCTCTCCGATCCACACCATGGCGAAGACGCCTGAGAAGACAAGGTCCTTTTGGTCGCCTTTGGCTCCCCATGACAAGAACAAGCTCAGCAGTAAGCAGAAGATGAGCGGCCCCCAGAGGTCCCAGTCTCTTAGTCCCTCGCTCATGCCGCCCTGGAGAATGACATCGGCATCTGGCCATCTGCCTGCAATATTCCTGAGACGACCGCCGACACCGTCTGCTTCACCGCGCTCTGCAGCCCCAATGCCTCCGCCGCGCTGCATCATGCCGCCCAGCAGGTATTTGGGGTACAGCACCTGCTTCATCTTCTCCCATATGGCAAAAATGTCTCTTGACAGTGTCTCCCATACCGTCTCGTCAATGGTGTTTGTTGGCGCGCGGCGGTCTTCCCCCGGAATGCTCGACGTTAAGTAAGACTGTGTCTGGGCAGCGTTGCGCTGGATGTTCCCCGTCAGCGGCGCGCGGTCCGACGTGCCTTGCAGAGGGTCGTCGAGGTCATCGAGGGTAGCTGGTGGTGGTTAGCTTGCCGTCGACCGTTGCCTCGTGTATGTACATGTGGAAGGGTGGGTAGTAGGCTGCTGCTGCATGCGACGCACCATCGTCCGGGTCAATCAAGTCACGCTCCACTGCATCATCATCGTAGGGATTGGCGCTCGTTGCGGAACTGGGCATCATTGCCGCCATGTTTCGGTGGAAAAAAAAACCCTGCGTTGACAGGTTGCGGGCTGCTTCTCCAATCGGGCAGGTATCGTGGGTTGATGGAGAGGCTCTGCTGTCCTTAACCTCTACGCGCAAGCTCCCGGAGGTGTCGTGGTGGGTGTGCTACCGCATCGGGTTAGTATTCCGCCGGCAGGGAAAGCTTGACCCTGTTAGCGTGCACCGCTTGACTTACAGCCTGCAGCCTGCCCATGCTGCATTCTCGCTGTCTCGTGCTCTCTCGCTATATATATGTACTTCTCTAAATCCTGAAAAGCCGCCTCTGTTCACCCCACCATCTACACCGGGAAAATACCGACGACATGACTGACCCCGTCTTGAACGACATCTCTCACAGGCGCTTCAATCTGTTGCGAGGAAGTTGGATATTAGTTTCTCCACACCGGACAAAGCGCCCATGGCAGTAAGCACTGTCGTACAAGAATCTGTCGCATAGACGTCTAATTTCTCCGTAGAGGCATGCAAGAGTCGCCCTCGAAGACGACACTCCCCGATTATGACCCCAAGGTAATACCAGCACTTAAGCAGAGTCCAATACATGACTACATTACTAACTCCAACTAGTGCTATCTATGTCCGTCAAATACGCGGGCTAATGGCGAGCACAACCCCAAGTTTGAGAGCACTTTTGTTTTTGTCAACGACTACAGTGCCGTCATGGAAGAGCAACAAGAGTATCGCCCAGACTCCAAAGATGGTTCTCTTGCTTCCCGCCTGCTCCGCGCTGAAGCCGTGACTGGAAAATGCTACGTCATATGTTTCTCCCCGTCCCACAACCTCACTCTGGCCGACATGTCGCCCGCTCAGATTGTGCCAATCATAGAAACCTGGACGAACATTTATGTTGCGCACCTGGATTCAAAGTCACCGCTGGCTAAACTTGCTTCGGCAATCAACATTCCACCGCTTTCACAGGGCCCTCTTACCCCACCAAGCGCGCAGTACCGGTACATGCAAATCTTCGAGAACAAGGGTACGGCAATGGGCTGCTCTAATCCCCACCCCCATGGCCAAATCTGGACGACTACCTCACTTCCTGAAGAGCCCGCGACCGAACTTGTGCAACTGAGCAAGTACCGTAAAGAAAATGGCGGTTCCCACATGTTGGTGGATTACGCCGAGTTAGAGTCAAAAGAGAAGGCACGCACGGTATTCGAGAACGAGAACTTCTGGGCCGGTGTTCCGTACTGGGCCGTCTGGCCGTTTGAGATTATGATTATCTCGAAGCAGCACAAGCGGTCACTCGTGGATTTCACAAAAGAAGAGCGTGCACAATTAGCAGAGGCTATTGCTGAGATTACGAGGCGGTATGACAACCTCTTTGAGACGCAGTTCCCGTACAGTAAGTCAGCAAAATTTGTTTGTACAAATAGATGTGGCTAACGAATACAGGTATGGGACTCCATCAGGCTCCTCTTACAGGCACAGCCGACGAGATTGAGTGCAGCCATTTCCACATTCACTTCTATCCACCACTACTACGAAGCGCCACAGTCCGCAAGTTCCAGGTCGGCTACGAGATGATGGCCGAGCCTCAGCGTGATATCACGCCTGAGCAAGCAGCAGAGCGCCTGAGGAGTTGTGACGGCGAGCTTTACCGTAGGAAGCTCGAAGCATCACCCGTAACCAACGGTGTAAATGGCGTCAATGGCGTAAACGGTGTGAACGGCACACATTAGAGCGTTTACCCGAAGCATGCTCCTAATACTTAGTTTTCTGACTTTTTTTGCGCGCCCAACAACTACCTATATATTTACCGGAAGACGCGCTTACCACGGGAGAAGATACCCAAGACCCGAGATGAGAGAAATGATGGCCAGACGAGAGTTGCATACACATAGCATGAGGAATGTCAAGTTAGACATTGAAGACATTTCCTTTTTTTTTCCTAGATACATACAAAATCATACATTTACGCAAACTAACCCCCCAAAAAAATCTCGGGTCAAATCTACCCGAATCCATACAAAATGCATCCCAAAGTGCTACAAAAAACATGTTGGGAAACTTAGATTGCACAAGCAAATATCACAAGGGGAGGGGGCAGGCGCGGGGAGCACCGAAAGCTAGTCAACGTCATAAGCCCAGAATGGCGGGGCAACACACACACACAGACAGGCAGGCACATGTGCCCACGCCATGTGCCCCACCAAACCAACATCCCTCGGAACCTGTTCTCGAACTGAACCCCTCACCACCAAACCACCAGAACTCCTCCACTTACCCTTGACCCTGCTTTTACAAAGTTCCAAGAAAGCAAAGTAACAACCACGCAAAATGCCTTCCGCAAAGTTCGACGAAGTCTACAAGAAAGTCAGCACCATGGGCGAGAAGCTCAAGGCTGCTAGCAAGCAAGGTCCCAGCAACGATGAGCAGCTCAAGGTACGTCTCCCTCCATTTCCCTTACATATCCCCTCTCCCTCCATGTGCTCTTTACCACTCCCTGTCTCACCATTTTAAACTTCTCCACTCGTACCAAAGCCGCCATAAGTAGCGACGTACGAGAAAGAGAAAAAAAGCAATAGTAGTGGCGCATGGACATGCAGGAAGGCCCACGTAGCTCTACTACGCTCGCATCTCCTATCCGTAACACGAGTTTCAAACAAGATGAAAGCTAACAACATCGTAGCTCTACGCGTACGCAAAGGTTGCGAATGGCACGGATTTCAGCGCAGCAACGAAGCCCGGCATGTTCGATCTTACTGTATGTCCCTCCCTCCCTTTTTTCCCTTCCTTCAGATTCCACACGCGGCACAACTTCCTTCCTCGTTTCTCTCTCTCGCAACCCGGAATTCCCGGACAAGAAAAAAAAACCACCACAATCGACTTCCTACATAAATGGTAGAGAAGCAACGAGAGATTAGGCTGGAGGATAACCCCCAGGGCGTCGTTTGTCAAGAGAACTGGTAAATGATGCAGAAACGGAAGCTAACGGTGAGACAACAACAGGGCAAGGCCAAGTACAACAAGTGGAAGGAGGTTGTCGATGCTGGAACGACTCAGGAGCAGGCTGAGCAGGAGTACATCAAGCTTGGCGAGGAGTTGGTCGCCAAGTACGACAAGTAGAGAGGAGATGCGTAGGACAGGAAGATGGATGGGAAAACCCTGATGCCAACAAGGCGCAATCAATATTAAATAAATAAGAGGAATGAGAAAAAATAGCTTTTGAGCTATGATATGCTGCTCTAGTTTCTATTACCCATGTTTGCAATGCGTTATTACATATGTATGTTGGATTGAGACTGCCACGCGTTCATGTTGATATCAAAGTCATGGTAAGCGGTATATGTATAAACACCTTGGTACCCCTTCAACGAAACCAACCAGGCCAAGAATATCCATACCGATCTGGCTCCTCATACGGCAGTGTCGCACACCAAGGTCGCTCATTAGCCGAGTACGGTACGAGTGGTAGATTGTACGGCATGCGGAATCCAACCACCGTCCCCTTATTTTCCTCGCCGTATTTGCCCGCCTCTGGGGTATCAGTCCCGAACACGGGGACCATTGTCGATGAGTGCCCGGATTCTGCAAATAGAGCAGGCCACACTACGACACCTGTTTCATAGGACTGGATTCGGATTGCTTCGTGTTTATTAACCACTTCGCCCCATGCTTGCTTGCTTAGGTTGGCGCTGGTGAGTAGAGCCCAGTCGATTGTCTTGTGGGTTTCGTCGCTGAAGCGAATGTACGTTTTGATATGTGGTGCTGCTGTACCACGGTGTGCTTCTTGTTGGGACGGATAGGGGCGGGACATGGGGGTCCAGTGACAGAGTAGTGGGTGCATGTACTCGAGTTGTTTTTGCTGCTGGTTGGATTGGAATTTCCAGTGGATGGACCCGCCAGAAGCGTAGCCATCCAGGGACATGCGGATCTCGGCTGGAGTTGGGAATACAATGCTGAACTTGGGTTCTGGTGCTTCTGCTGCATTGGAATCTTGCGTGGCGAGGATCTTAGAGGCTTTTGTGAATGAAGATGATGATGCTTCTTCTTTTTCCGAATCTTCAATTCTCGAACAGCGCGAAAGAATGGACTGGAAATGAGAAAGCCATGTTGGTGCCGCACCCAGTGTCGCCACTGACGAGATTTGAGTGACGATGTGAGGACGGGAACTAGCTTCTGATGCCTTGACTGGAATACTAGAAAGTATCTGGTCTAGCCCTAACCAACCAAAAGCAGTGTTCGAAGAACTGGTTACAGAAGGTCTCTGTGTTGATGGTGTGCTTCCAAGGAACGCTGCCCGAATGCCTGAGAAGTCGTAGGATCTCAGCTGGAGGGTTAAAGCCCTCAATTGCATTCCATATACATACAGGTAACGAAGAAGATCAATTTTGAATCGTTCGCCGCTCCCAATAGAGTGGATTTTTGTGGACTTTGATTGCTCTGATGGTATGTGCTGCAAGAATGGAAGCAACGGTGACGCCCAGACTGCTTGTGTCATATTTGCCCAGTCACGGTAAATCATATTGGCTGTATGGATAACGACCTGAGCGGTGTCATCATGTCGGAAGAGAATGAGCATTTTCGAGTGATGAGTACCGAATGCATCTGGGACATATGCAGCTTTAAGCTCAATATTGGGATATCGTTTTGCTGTTTCCTACAGATCATCAGTATTCAAGCAATTGATATCCGAAAAAAGGACGGTTGGTGTGAGCATCAAACTCCGAGAAACTATGGTACTTACTAGTAATGCGATCCAGTTTTTGTCATCTCCCTTCCAGAAGCCATGCACAATCTTGACTTTGACCATATTCCTGACGTCCCTATCAAAGTGTTGCCTATTTATCAGTTAGTATTCAAACTCCACCAACATCTCAACTCTCAGGACTGAAATTCGAAAAATACTCACATGACGAAATCCAGGTCGAACAAGTAGTTAAAGTTCCAACACTCCTTGATCATGGGGTCTCCCAACAAATCCGCCAAGCCCACTGTATCGACATTCTTCTCACTCGGTAGCTTTTCAATCCGCGTGAGCTGCACTGGCGACGAGATGAAGTGTGTGGATGGCCCTGCCGTTTCCAAAGCCACCTTCTCTTTCACCACACCACCAAAGCCCCAGCCCGTTGTAAAACCACCGCCCTCTTCACGTCCTACCCGATTCGACAAAGGCGGAGGACTAATCGGCCTATCAAGACCCTTGTGTAATTCTGTCGAAGAACAGGGCTGGTTCTCAAGCACTTCCCCTTTGGGCGAATCAACAACATCGAGTCTTCGGCGCTTACTCGGCGGAGCGTCTTCGGGGTCTTGTTGCATCGCGATATACTAGGTCCACTTACTTCCTACCGAGTCGGCAAGCGAGTTGTTAGCAAGATAACTTTTTTTAGAGTAATTTAGAACAAGGATGTGAAACAGAGCTGGAAATTCGGCGCAATAAAAGGGAAAGGTTAAAGTAAGCGTCAGGCACGAGCCACTTGGTGTGGGAAATAGGCAGTCACTCTCTTGCTGATTCAAGTGTTGGGGCAAGTAGGAAGGAAGGAAGCGTCACGACAGCAGTCACAATACAAAGTTGCACATAGATCCGAAGGGTGAAGTCAATGATGACATCATATCTTAGTATTTAGACGGTAAAGCTCACTTTTCCAAGCAAACTGCTTATCAAAGGCTATGCAAACATACACGGTCTAATAGTACTTGAGCATCATGCCCTGATGCTCGATAGCGAAGGAAAAGAAAAGACAAACTTATTATGCCACTTCTTCAAAGGTGGAAAGGCATTCCCCCCCAAACGCCGAGTATCGCTAAAATCGAATAAAGAAAACATTCTATGCCGCGCTGGCGCTAAGCATAGGCTGAGCAACCTTGGTGACTTGGTTGCCAGCGCGGATGATTGGGTTGCCTTGCTCGTCCTTGACGATGTTGACCTCCTTGTTCTCCTTCTGGGCACGCTTCCAGATCTCAACCTCGCATCCACCACGGATGACACCGACCCTCATGGTAGAGAGCAGGTTGTGGGCAGCGTTGGAGTGGAAGTAGACACCACCGTTGAACATGGCAGTAGCGTCCTTGCCAATACCGCTCTTGATCAGGGTCTTGCCACCGGGGTGCTCGTTGATAAAGTCGGTAACGTCGTGAACAACACCAGCGACAGCGATCAGACCACGGCCGTTCTTAGCCTGCTCAACATAGTCGTCCCACTCGATGACAGGAAGCTGCTCAAGAGGAACACCCCAGTCGAGCTTGGCGCGCTTCTGGTCAATCTTCTTCTGGAGTTGCTGGACACGGCCCTTCTCGATCTCGTTGGCACGGAACTGCTTGAGGTTGGAGGCGAGACCGAGCTTGCTCCACAGCCAGATGGACCACTTGGTGGGGTCATACTGGTGCCACTCGATAGCGTTGCGGTAGTCGGAGGGGAACTCGTGGTGGAAGTTGTGGTATCCCTCACCAAGAGTGACGAGAGCAGTGATGACGTGGTCCCTGGGGCTGTTGCGGTCGTCAAAGGGCTGGTCACCGAGCCAGTGGGCGAGCGAGTTGACGCAGAAGGTGGCCTGCTGGACGAAGAAAATGCGAAGGATACCAGCGTAGATGAAGCCACCCTTCCAGTCGTTCCAGAGGAGGCCAGCGACAGCAGAGGGGAAGATGAGGCCCATGAAGATGACAACCTTGATGTAGTTCTTGTGCTGCCAGACAACGACAGGGTCCTCGTTAAGGTCGGTGATGTCGGTGCGGCCAATGCGCTTGGGGTTCTGCTTCATGATCATCCAGCCAAGGTGACTGTAGAGAAGTCCCTTGCGGACGCTGTAGGGGTCCTTGTTGGTGTCGGTGTAGCGGTGGTGGGCACGGTGGTCACGGCTCCACCAGCGGATGGAGCCCTCGACAGCACCGCCGCCAACAAGAGCGAGGAAGATGCTCAGAGGAAGGCTAGCATTGTATGACTTGTGTGCCCAGAGACGATGGTAGCCAGCCGTGATACCGAGACCGGTCCAGAAGTAGTAGACGACGGCCCAGAGGGCAGTCTGCCACCTGAGCGGTGTCCAGAAGGCAGCGATGCAACCGGCGAGAGGGATTCCGATAATGAAGTAGACCTGAAACGCTACGTTAGCAAATGCTGTGTGCTGCGGGGACGCTACTCGAGACTTACGTTGAGCCAGTTGACGTGCTTGTACCAGTTTGACTTTGTAATGGGGGTATCGGTGATGTGTGGCTTCTTTGGGTCGTACTTGGGGTTGCGGTTGGGCTCCGAGGTGCTTGCCATTGAGGAGGGCTGCTTGACGTAGTCGGGGTCGACGGCCATCATGCCAGCAGTAGGCTGGTGAGAAGGCATATTGAAAGATGCAGCGGTAAGGTGGTGTGTAGGGAAAGCGAATGAAGTGATGGGGGGTGCAGAGACGGCTAGCGGCTCAAAAAAAGATAGTCCGGGCTCCGGGGGCGAGCAAGAGAGCTCGAGCAACGACGGAAAGCTTCACCCACGGTCGAGTCAACGACGAGGCAGAAGGTAGTCGGAGGGGAGGAGCAACAAAAGTTGGGATGGAGGGGGAAGAGCAAAAGTGGCGGCGGGCAGGAGGGCATTAATATAAGGCGGCGGGCAGTTTGTCCATCCCAACACTCTGCGGGCAGGTAAGCGAAAGACTGGGACCTGCATTGTCAAGCGCGTCTGCATCGCCGCCGCCAAAGGGCCCTTTTTTGCCGTAACGTAATTTATGCCTCAAAGCGGGTTAGCGCTGGCTCTCACTACGGCGGCGGCAGGGTCCCGGGGCGAAGAAATTTCGGGACTCCGTGCAGGCCTCGCGCTGATCTCGGCATCGAGAACGACCTGGGTGGCAGTGCGCGCGGGCGTCCATCCTGTTGCAGCTGGGCCCCAGAGCCTGCACCGAATGCCCTTTTTTCCCCGGATTCCCGCATTGCGCTCGGCCTGCTCCCTTGACTAGGCAGGCAGAGACATGGCTGTCCGTTGGCTGGGGAAGGGAGGAAAAGGAAAGGAGAACGAGGACGAGAAGGAAAGAAAAGGACACCTAAATGGATTATCCCCAAAAAGCGGTCTGATTCAGAATCATCGGCATTGTGTACTATGAATGTGTGTGTGTGTGTGTCCTTACAAGCGGATTGCCTCACTGGGCATAGAAGCTCACGCCGTGGTGATGCCACTCATCAAAAACTCGCCGTCATCGCTAATCGGCTAGCCGTATTCTTTGCTTCTCCATATCCCCGCCTAGCCGATAACAATGCTAGAGTATTCCATACAATTTGGTTCGCACTGTACGTACTGTAATCCGGCCAACCTTTCCACCACCAGGAATCCTGCCGTTACATTTTTTTGTTGATATCGCTAAGGTTTCCGGTCATCCGGCTCTGTTCTGCACACTTACGTATGCCATCATGGTCTTTTTTATCAGCTTGCAAACGTGAACAATTGGTCTCGATAGCCATCTGGCCGAGTTTACTTGTACAATGTTGCTCTCGGGGCAGTGTGGCAAAAAAAAAACCGTCGTGTTCGGCTGTTGTCCCAAAATACAGCGGGTACCCCCCCAGCCCCGTTTACCCATGACTCTTTAACACAGCACTTGATTGAACAACACAACCCTTACACCCATGAAAGAAAGCATTCTGGCCCTCGAAAGCATCTTTACCACATTTGCCCAGGCCCAGTCGGCCCACCTGAAACATTGCGAGTATGTAAAGAAAAATAAATAATAATAATAATTACAGTAAAGTCGCCCGCAAATAGAAGGAAGGGGGTGTGTGCGCTGTTCAAAGTCACCAGTCCTCGCAAGCTCTACCGAATCGGGAACTGGCGCGTCCTCAACACCTTGCCGCCTTTCGCATCCCACACCCAATGCCTTACATCACCCTTCTCTTCCTACCCAATTGTATCGCATCCGTTATCCCTCGGTTCCAGCCTTTTCTTCTTCCATTTGCAAGACCCCGCTAGATGGAGAGGTGTGTGGGTGTGTGGGTGGGTGTCAGGACCAGAAGAAAAACCGTTGACGTGGTGTTGTCGTCGTCTCATGCTCATGTCACACATACATAATTTTGGCATGCGGTCTCTTTTTTTTTTGTGGCGGGTAGGGCTGAAGACTACTTCATATGGTCATGCAACATGTCTGCTGTCAACGGTGCTACTAGTAGCTGCGGAAAATAATTAAAAAAAAAGTCTCCACACAATTGTGTGGACATGCGTGTGTGCGTGTGGGCACACTCCATCTTGCATGGACTTGAATCGTAGATGTGGCGGCGTAGAGCGCTTGTCGTAGTTTAGAGCACTCAATGGCGACAGGTGCACGGACGGGCTGGTATCATGATTGGTAAGGAGATTGTAGGGGGTTGAAAAGGATAGGTTGAACAGCCGGCTACCCGGTAACCAAAAGAATGAATGAAAGAGTCCTTTATTTTTAAACTCCATAAGACACTATAATTGCGTTTCCCTCTTAAACTTTTGTATTCCCAGAAAATCATTCACAAAAAACACAAATATTCCCCCCTTCATGCCGCCTTGCTAGCCACAATATCCGAACTCGCTCTTCCCTCAACATCCACATCCGCACCGTTAGCACCCTTGCGACCCTGATCCCACTCGCCGCTCTCACCTGCCTTCTCATCCCCATCCGCCACAATCTCCGGCGTCTCTTCATCCTCAATCTCCTCAGGCAGCACCAAATTCAGAATGACCGTAACAAGCGCCACGACCGCGAATCCCGTCTCGAGCACCAGCTCAATAGCATTGTAGAAGCCCTTGAGCGCGGTGTTGGGTCCACTATAGGTAAACACAAACGAGAACCAATTCGGGACCATTGTGGCGCCGAAGCCAAGCGTGAAGCCCGCAGTGAGGATAAACCGGTTCCTGCGGGTGAAGGGCATGGTGCTGATGATGCGGATGCCGGATACGGTGACGGCACTGAAGAGGAAGGTCGTCATGCCGCCCAGGACAGCCGAGGGAATGGCCACGAGAGCCGCGGCGAACTTTGCAAAGATGCCCATGATGATGAGCCAGAAGCAGCATGCGTAGCCCGCTTTGCGGTTGGCACAGCGTGTTAGGGCTACAACGCCGCAGTTTTGCGCAAATGTGGACATGGGCGTGATGGTGCAGAGCGCGGCAATCATGCCGGCGATGCCGTCGGCGAGCACGCCGCCTTGGATGCGTGAATCGAAGAGCGGGCCGTCGACTTCTACGCGCGATACGTCACAGGTGGCTGTGATGTCGCCAATGGCTTCCATGGCGCAGACCATGTAGACTGCTAGCAGAGGTAAGATGATAGGTGGGTAGACGGTGAGCTTGAATGTTTGAACCCAGATGAAGGACACGACAGGGGCAGAGTCAA